GATGTTTCCACCCCCATGCTTCACAGTAGGTATGGTGTTCTTTGGATGCAACTCAGCATTCTTTGTCCTCCAAACACGACGAGTTGAGTTTTTACCAAAATGTTATATTTTGGTTTCATCTGACCATATGACATTCTCCCAATCCTCTTCTGGATCATCCAAATGCACTCTAGCAAACTTCAGACGGGCCTGGACATGTACTGGCTTAAGCAGGGGGACACGTCTGGCACTGCAGGATTTGAGTCCCTGGCGGCGTAGTGTGTTACTGATGGTAGGCTTTGTTACTTTGGTCCCAGCTCTCTGCAGGTCATTCAATAGGTCCCCCCGTGTGGTTCTGGGATTTTTGCTCACCGTTCTTGTGATCATTTTGACCCCACGGGGTGAGATCTTGCGTGGAGCCCCAGATCGAGGGAGATTATCAGTGGTCTTGTATGTCTTCCATTTCCTAATAATTGCTCCCACAGTTGATTTCTTCAAACCAAGCTGCTTACCTATTGCAGATTCAGTCTTCCCAGCCTGGTGCAGGTCTACAATTTTGTTTCTGGTGTCCTTTGACAGCTCTTTGGTCTTGGCCATAGTGGAGTTTGGAGTGTGACTGTTTGAGGTTGTGGACAGGTGTCTTTTATACTGATAACAAGTTCAAACAGGTGCCATTAATACAGGTAACGAGTGGAGGACAGAGGAGCCTCTTAAAGAAGAAGTTACAGGTCTGTGAGAGCCAGAAATCTTGCTTGTTTGTAGGTGACCAAATACTTATTTTCCACCATAATTTGCAAATAGATTCATTAAAAATCCTACAATGTGATTTTCTGGATTTTCTTTTCTCATTTTGTCTGTCATAGTTGACGTGTACCTATGATGAAAATTACAGGCCTCTCATCTTTTTAAGTGGGAGAACTTGCACAATTGGTGGCTGACTAAATACCTTTTTCCCTCACTGTATATACACTGTATATACAGTACCAGTCAAAAGTTTGGACATACCTACTCATTCAAGGGTTTTTCTTTATTTGTACTAAACTCAGCAAAAAAAGAAACGTCCCTTTTTCAGGACCCTGTCTTTCAAAGAAAATGTGTAAAAATCCAAATAACTTCACAGATCTTCATTGTAAAGGGTTTAAACACTGCTTCCCATGCTTGTTCAATGAACCATAAACAACTAATGAATATGCACCTGTGGAACGGTCGTTAAGACACGAACAGCTTACAGACGGTAGGCAATTAAGGTCATACTAAAGAGGCCTTTCTACTGACTGAAAAACACCAAAGAAAGATGCCCAGGGTCCCTGCTCATCTGCGTGAACGTGCAAGGAGGTATGAGGACTGCAGATGTGGCCAGGGCAATAAATTGCAATGTCCGTACTGTGAGACGCCTAAGACGGCGCTACAGGGAGACAGGACGGACAGCTGATCGTCCTCGCAGTGGCAGAACACGTGTAACAACACCTGCACAGAATCGGTACATCCGAACATCACACCTGCGGGACAGGTACAGGATGGCAACAACAACTGCCCGAGTTACACCAGGAACGCACAATCCCTCCATCAGTGCTCAGACTGTCCGCAATAGGCTGAGAGAGGCTGGACTGGGGGCTTGTAGGCCTGTTGTAAGGCAGGTCCTCACCAGACATCACCAGCAACAACGTCGCCTATGGGCACAAACCCACCGTCGCTGGACCAGACAGGACTGGCAAAAGGTGCTCTTCACTGACGAGTCACGGTTTTGTCTCACCAGGGGTGATGGTCGGATTCGCGTTTATCGTCGAAGGAATGAGCGTTACACCGAGGCCTGTACTCTGGAGCGGGATCGATTTGGAGATGGAGGGTCCGTCATGGTCTGGGGCGGTGTGTCACAGCATCATCGGACTGAGCTTGTTGTCATTGCAGGCAATCTCAACGCTGTGCGTTACAAGGAAGACATCCTCCTCCCTCATGTGGTACCCTTCCTGCAGGCTCATCCTGACATGACCCTCCAGCATGACAATGCCACCAGCCATACTGCTCGTTCTGTGTGTGATTTCCTGCAAGACAGGAATGTCAGTGTTCTGCCATGGCCAGCGAAGAGCCCAGATCTCAATTCCATTGAGCACGTCTGGGACCTGTTGGATCGGAGGGTGAGGGCTAGGGCCATTCCCCCCAGAAATGTCCGGGAACTTGCAGGTGCCTTGGTGGAAGAGTGGGGTATCATCTCACAGCAAGAACTGGTAAATCTGGTGCAGTCCATGAGGAGGAGATGCACTGCAGTACTTAATGCCGCTGGTGGCCACACCAAATACTGACTGTTACTTTTGATTTTGACCCCCCCTTTGTTCAGGGACACATTATTCAATTTCTGTTAGTCACATGTCTGTGGAACTTGTTCAGTTTATGTCTCAGTTGTTGAATCTTGTTATGTTCATACAAATATTTAAACATGTTAAGTTTGCTGAAAATAAACGCAGTTGACAGTGAGAGGACGTTTATTTTTTACTGAGTTTATTTTCTACATTGTAGAATAATAGTGAAGACATCAAAACTATGAAATAACACATATGGAATCATGTAGTAACCAAAAAAAGTGTTAAACAAATCAAAATATATTTGAGATTTGAGATTCTTCAAAGTAGCCACCCTTTGCCTTGATGACAGCTTTGCACACGCTTGGCATTCTCTCAACCAGCTTCATGAGGTAGTCACCTGGAATGCATTTCAATTAACAGGTGCCTTCTTAAAAGTTAATTTGTGGAATTTCTTTCCTTCTTAATGAGCCAATCAGTTGTCTTGTGACAAGGTAGGGGTGGTATACAGAAGATAGCCCTATCTGGTAAAAGACCGTCCATATTATGGCAAGAACAGCTCAAATAAGCAAATAGAAATGACAGTTCATCATTACTTTAAAGACATGAAGGTCAGTCAATCCGGAACATTTCTTCAAGTGCAGTCGCAAAAACCATCAAGCGCTATGATGAAACTGGCTCTCATGAGGACCGCCACAGGAAAAGAAGACCCAGAGTTACCTCTGCTGCAGAGGATAAGTTCATTAGAGTTAACTGCACCTCAGATTGCAGCCCAAATAAATGCTTCACAGAGTTCAAGTAACAGACAGATCTCAACATCAACTGTTCAGAGGAGACTGTGTGAATCAGGCCTTCAAATTGCTGCAAAGAAACCACTACTAAAGGACACCAATTAGAAGAAGAGACCTGCTTGGGCCAAGAAACACGAGCAATGGACATTAGAACGGTGGAAATCTGTCCTTTGTTCTGATGAGTCCAAATGTGAGATTTTTGGTTCCAACCACCGTGTCTTTGTGAGACGCAGAGTAGGTGAACAAATGATCTCTGCATGTGTGGTTCCCACCGTGAAGCATAGAGGAGGTGGTGTGATGGTGTGGGGGTGCTTTGCTGGTGATTTATTTAGAATTTAAGGCACACTTAACCAGCATGGCTACCACAGCATTCTGCAGCGATACGCCATCCCATCTGGTTTGGGCTTAGTGGGACTATAATTTGTTTTTCAACAGGACAATGACCCAACACACCTCCAGGCTGTGTAAGGGCTGTTTGACCAAGAAGGTGAGTGATGGAGTGCTGCATCAGATGACCTGGCCTCCACAATCCCCCGACCTCAACCCAATTGAGATGGTTTGGGATGAGTCGGACGGCAGAGTGAAGGAAAAGCAGCCAACAAGTGCTAAGCATATGTGGGAACTCCTTCAAGACTGTTGGGAAAGCATTCCAGGTGAAGCTGGTTGAGAGAATGCCAAGAGTGTGCAAAGCTGTCATCAAGGCAAAGGGTGGCTATTTAAAGAATCTCAAATATATTTTGATTTGTTTAACACTTTTTTGGTTACTACATTATGTATTATTTGGCCAACTACAAGAAATGTCTGTCCTCTGTTATTGCCAACAAGGGTTTTGCCACCAAGTACTAAGTCATGTTTTGCAGAGGGGTCAAATACTTATTTCCCTCATTAAAATGCAAATCAATTTATAACATTTTTGACATGCGTTTTTCTGGATTTTGTCTCTCACTGTTCAAATAAACCTACCATTAAAATTATAGACTGATCATTTCTTTGTCAGTGGGCAAACGTACAAAATCAGCAGGGGATCAAATACTTTTTTCCCCTCACTGTACATGATTCCATATGTGTTATTTCATAGTTCTGATGTCTTCACTATTATTCTACAATGTAGAAAATAGTGAAAATAACAAAAAACCCTTGAATGAGTAGGTGTGTCCAAACGTTTGACTGGTACTGTATATGTATTTATTTGAGCATTTTCATTGTTGGACATAAAATACTAAAAACACCTGGAAATCAGCTCCAGATGATTTCAATTTTGGAAACCTGTTCCCAAGTATTCATACGCATAACAGGGAGACTAAAATGTAAATGTAAATGTGATCATATACAAAAGTAAGCAAGGTTTGAAATGATTATACGTTTTAGTCAAATATAAAATCGGTTTAGGCTTCTTGCTGTCAATTTGCAGTCTATAAATTATTTGTAATTATGTTACGGCCCCTGACCATCCTCAAGAAAAAATAAGAAAAAATCAGTCCGCAGCTGAATCTAGTTGATGATCCCTTGCTTAGAGGACTCTATGGATGAGGAATGGGGAATGCAGTGGCCAGACCTCAGTCTCACAGTCAAGGCTTCATAAAACGACAGACAGAAAAATGCTGAGCCAGGAAGGCTTGAACGGACAACCTGAAGAATTCACACTGCGGACCGTGCCTCTGTTTCAACTTGTCTGTCACCATTTGCTCATAAACCTCAACATTAGGAAGTGAAGACTGCTCTGAAAACTCAATCACCCATTTGAGGTGCCTTTCTTCTTTAGTTTCTTACAGCATAACGTTTTTTTCCATACCATCGGAGTTCACATTCAACAGGAAAATGTTGGGAGATTCATAGTAGTCAAAAAACTCAGTAATAGAATATTCAGAGTCCATAGTTATTCATCAAGTTTCTCAGCTATGTCCAAGGTTGGAGCTGCTTTGTATTATTCATTGTTCCCGCAGAACAATCTCACAGAAGAGAACCACAAACTGAGGGAAAATATGTGATTTATTGCTATTATTCATCATGTCACAATATGGAATTGGCCATTTATTTGGAAATATAGCAACACATCTGCAATCAAAAAAAAAATCCTCCTCAGAATGTATATTAACCGTTACATTAAGGCAGGTACAGTAAGAAGATTAGAAACCATCTTTTTGTCTTGTAGTTGTAGGGAGGAGCACAAAATGCTGTGAGGTTCAGAGATGATTGTAACTGGATCACAATTTAACACTAAAAGTTAACTTTTGCCGTTAGGTTCAGAGTCTCAAAAGGAAAGCCATAATAAAGCTGTCATCTTTCTAAACAGATACTGTTTCTCTATAAAGAAAAGTGCCACAGGAAGCCTGCTGTGCTGGGAGCAGCTTGGAGCTTGTCCTGAGCAGTAACACATCTTCGGTTTCACAGAAGAATCTTGTAGTAATCGTCCTTGTAGCTGTACAAAACCACCACAGCAACTCTGCAAAGACAACACACTCATCAAGTCCCAATATCAAAGCCCATTTCTCAATAACGCAATGTTTGTCCAAAACAACCCCAACCCCATATGGCCATTAGCAGGCTATGTTGAAGTACACAAGTGTACAATAGATTATGAACACCTGCTCTTTCCGTGACATAGACTGATCAGGTGAATCCAGGTGAAAGCTATGATCCCTTATTGATGTCACTTGTTAAATCCACTTCGATCAGTGTAGATGAAGGGGAGGAGACAGGTTAAAGAAGGATTTTGAAGCCGAGACAATTGAGACATGGATTGTGTATGTGTACCATTCAGAGGGTGAATGAGCAAGACAAAAGATTTAAGTGCCTTTGAACGGGGTAGGGTAGTAGGTGCCAGGTGCACCGGTTTGTGTCAAGAACTGCAACGCTGCTGGGTTTTTCACATTCAACAGTTTCAAGAATGGTCAACCACCCAAAGGACATCCAGCCAACTTGACAACTGTGGGAAGAATTGGATTTAACATGGGCCAGCATCCCTGTGGAACGCTTTTGACACTGTGTAGAGTCCATGCCCCGACGAATTGATGCTGTTCTGAGGGCAACTCAATATTAGGAAGGTGTTCTTAATGTTTTGTACATTCGGTGTATGTTTCTATGTGTAAAGGGAATGCATAACAATTACTACGGACATCAATGACAGACAATAACCTATAACTGCTTTCTTGTGTAAGCCTACCACACCAGGTAAAGTCGGTTTAGTATGTTTTAACTGGCCGGTTCTTTGTGGAAAAACAGCCTAATTGGACTATTCTTATTCATTGTCACCATCATTATTGCCCTTTCTTTTCATTCTTTCACAGGGTATTTCAGATGATCTGGCGGGCATCAAGTTACGAGTCTGTTTTGAAGTAAATGAAAGAGCGGCTGTAGCTGCAGCTCAATGACTGTGGAGCCATATGGGCAGAGTAGTTTATAGGCACAGTGCAGCCAGGCGACTGTTTACTACTGTGGCCTTTGGCCCACTTACCATGCCTTCAGAAAGTATTCATACCCCTTGACTTATTCCACATTGAGTTACAGCCTGAATTCAAAATTGATTAAATATATTTTTTTTCCTCACCCATCTACACACAATACCCCACAATGACAAAGTGAAAACATGTTTTTAGACATTTTTGCAAACACCCGAGTGAATACTTTGTAGAATCACCTTTGGCAGTGATTACAGCTGTAAGTCTTTCTGGGTAAGTCTCTAAGAGCTTTCCACACCTGGATTGTGCAACATTTGCACATTATTCTTTCAAAATGTATTAAGCTCTGTCAAATTGTTTGATGATCATTGATATACAACCATTTTCAGGTCTTGCCATAGATTTCCAAGTAGATTTAAGTCAAAACTGTAACTCTGCCACTCATGAACATTCACTGTCTTCTTGGTAAGCAACTCCAGTGTAGATTTGTCCTTATGTTTTAGGTTATTGTCCTGCTGAAAGGTGAATTCATCTCCCAGTGTCTGGTGGAAAGCAGAATAAACCAGGTTTTCCTCTATGATTGTGTCTGTGCTTAGCTCCATTCCGTTTCTTTTTTTATCCTGAAAAACTGGCCAGTCCTTAATGATTACAAATATACCCATAACATGATGCAGCCACCACTATGCTTGAAGATATGGAGAGTGGTACTCAGTAATGTGTGTATTGGATTTGCACCAAACATAACACTTTGTATTCAGGACAAACAGTTAATTGCTTTGCCACATTTTTAGCAGTTTTACTTTAGTGCCTTGTTGCAAACAGGATGCATGTTTTGGAATATTTGTATTCTGTACAGGCTTCCTTCTTTTCACTCTGTCAATTAGGTTAGTATTGTGGAGTAAAATGTTGTTGATCCATCCTCAGTTTTCTCCTATAACAGACAAACTCTGTAACTCTGTTTTAAAGTCACCATTGGCCTCATGGTGAAATCCCTAAGCGGTTTCCTTCCTCTCTGGCAACTAAGTTAGGAAGGTCCCGTGTGGCTTAGTTGGTAGAGCATGGCATTTGCAATGCCAGGGTTGTGGGTTCGAGTCTCACGGGGGACCAGAACGAATGAAAATGTATGTACTCACTACTGTAAGTCGCTCTGGATAAGAGCATCTGCTAAATGACTAAAATGTAAAATTAAGGATGCCTGTATCTTTGTAGTGAATGGGTCGATTGAGACGCCATCCAAAGTGTAATTAATAACTTCACCATGCTCAAAGGGATATTCAATGTATGCTTTTTTATTTTTACCCATCTACCAATAGGTGCCCTTCTTTGTGAAAACCTCCATGGTCTTCATGGTTGAATCGCCGTTTGAAATTCACTGCTCCACTGAGGGACCTTACAGATAATTGTATGTGTGGGGTACAGAGATGAGGTGGTCACTCAAAAATCATGTTAAACACTATTATTGCACACAGAGTGAGTCCATGCAACTTATTATGTGACTTGTTTAAGCACATTTTTACTCCTGAACTTATTTAGGCTTGCCATAACAAAGGGGCTGAATACTTATTGACTCAATACATTTCAGCTTTTCATGTTTTATTAAAAACCTAATTCCACTTTGACATTATGGGGCATTGTGTGTAGGCCAGGGACTAAAATAAAATAAAATGTAATCCATTTTAAATTCAGGCTGTACCACAACAAAATGTGGAAAAGGTCAAGGGGTGTGAATACTTTCTGAAGGCACTGTATCTGGCCCTCTCTGTGACCTAGTTCAAGCGAAAACAAACAAACATGCACATAAAATCCACTGTGAATATCTCCATTGTTAGCAAATGATGGTAATTTATCAGTAAACACTTTTCCCTCATCAGTGAATGACACACACATTAAATTAAAACCAACTGCTCTGGATGGTCTACGAAGAGCCCTGTTAGAGCCAGAGAAATGGGCTCTTGCTTTCTTCTATGTTATACCCATTCATGAGAGAGAATCCATCAAATCCTACATAGGCTCCTTGTTCTGAGCATCCAAATAAAACTAGGCAGTCTTTGAGCAGGGCTATAGGCAGTGAGGCTGATATTAGCCCAGTCCCCTGTACAGAAGGCCTGCAGTGGGGCTTTAACCCTGCCTGTGACCTGGTCTATGGCCCAGGGCTCTGGGTGTCACTCACAGTGAAGAAACTCAGACAGAAGTCAGACAGAGACAGGACAAATCCTTACCCCAAATGGAAATCTGATCATCTGAGGAGTTGGTGTTTTACAGACTGTAGTTATCTTTGACCTGCTCTGTTTGAAGAGTTGACTGACATCCACACACCTGGGGTATGGGCTGGGCTTTTCTGGTGTTTGCTGGTCATAAAAGGAAGTCTGGTTTTTAAAGGACCTTTAATGCTCTCGACCGTTTTCCTCAGGTTTCATGATTTTTAATAAAAAGGCGAGTTAAGGCCTGAGTCAGACCCCGGGAGCACACAGGGGCGAGGCGATAGGGTCTACTGCCCTGCTCTCACACTCTGGCTGGGCTGGGTTTGCCTGCCCTGGAACACCCAGACCCTGAATAAAAAAAAGAAAAAAATAATGCCCAGTACACAGCTACAACTACGCACCTTTTTAGGATTTTGAAGTGGTGGATCTCCTCACAGATGGACTTGAGGTAGCGCTGCTTGGGGAGACGTGACAGCAGATGTTTAACGCTGATGTTGAACTGCTCATCTCCATCAAACTGGAGAGACAAGTGGCAGAAAGAGAGAGCGAGAAACCAGCAATCAGACATTCAACATAGCTGCTGCGATCAAACAAACAGGGCTGTTTATGTAGTTGTAGTTACCGTGTCGGAGACTGTGTAAACATTCACTCCACCATCTGCAGTTAATGGTGGGAAATATAAAAGAGATCTGCAGGTTGTGGATTTTCCACAATGTATATTTTTGCCTGTCGCGGCTGGCGGTGCAGTAAAGCTGCCCAGTGAGAGAGGCGGCTGGGAGAGTTAAGAGTCCCAGTCCCTCACTGCTCTGTGGGGTAATTAGTCCGTGTGATGCATGGTTTCCTGTGAGTCTGGGCATTGTAATTTGTTTTATACAGTGAAAGTGTTTTCTCTGACACTCACTCACAAAGCCACATGTGTGATGTGAGAGGGGAACTGTATAGGACCGCCATTCATTTGGCGCGAGCGTCTGCTTAGTTATGCAACCCTGCTTGTGTTCAGAGCATTTTTTATCTTTCCTATGTTTCTTAACACCATATAATTGACGTTCTCATTTTTTGTTGTTGATGAAAACCAGGGGTTCCGGCTTCGTTTGGCAGGCCCTGCGATCAGGAGTTTGGAATGTGAGTGTTCACACCTTGTCCCAGCTGGTAAGTCTGTGGTGTTTGTGGGAGGGGGACTCAGGGCAGGTGACCTAAAGGGTCCTGGCAGGACTGCTGGAGGAGGAGAGTGAAGGTGTTCCCCCAGCTCCCCAGACAGGACTCCCTCCATACCCTCCTCCATCCTGCCAAGATGTCCTTTATTGACTGTGCAGACAGAGTTAATGATAAGCAGAGCTGGGTACAGACCTCCAATGATAGGAAGTTGATGAGGGTTTCCTTCGGCAGGTCCACCTGGGACAAAAAACAACAGAGGGAGGTGCGTTAGACTCCACAAAGACAATGGATGTTATTTCACCATGTACTCCCAGACCATACCGTACATAGCATGCTGTCTGTTTTCTAAGGAAGTAAATGTGACCTCAGCCACAGTATCCAAATATAAACTATAAATATCAAGACACATTGCACATTGGCAACACAAAACAGAAGGTTCAGTTCCCTCAGCTTAAGGTCATTTGCACACTGTGCTGTATCAATGTACTCTGTGAGCAGAACATTACCTAATTATTCTTCATTCATGGTGCTCTCACCACCACTGACTGCACTACTGTAAAGGTCCTTCGCAGGAAATCATAGGACCATCATATGCCTTTATATTTTGGGAAAATTGGATTTCTCTTTAGTTAGGGGTATTACCTATGACAGACAGGTAGGATTACTGATGATGTAACCTGGAACCAAACTTACAGCTCTGAGTAAATACATACCGGCATCTAGGCGATTATGTCTGTAATGTTTCAATAACTTACACTCCAGCATCTAGCCTCTAACTCTCTGATGTGAACCAGACACAAACATATGGAATGACAAATGTATTTGGAGTATGTCGTATCAGTAAATACTACACTGTACAATTTACTCTGTGAATACCTCCTTTCAAATTTACTCCAAAACCACAAATAAACTAAATATGGTAGCAATTTAGCTCCAAATGACATGCCCTCTCCTTTTGTTTTTTGTTTATTGTTCTGGAGCAACTGGAATCACTTTGTAGCTATCTACCTCCAGGGGAGCTCTCTAAATCCCACTGCACGCTGATGTTTGCTATTATAGCTATCAGCTAACTTCTGTCCTCATTTCACTATTTCACACATGGATTCAACAGATAAGGTGTAAAGCGGGGAAAACAGCAAATTACTTACAGCCAGAACTTCGATGTCATTGCTCTTGTTCTGTAAATTGCTAGCAAGATAATGCAATCTGGTTTGTATCTGAAAAAGAGAGAGTGGGGGAAAAAAATAGTAATTGCTCCGATGAATCCAATGAAACTGGGAAACAAAAGCCACTTCATCTTCACATGCAATTGGTCTCCATGCGAGCCAATGGGGTTTAAAACTGGGCTGGCCGTGCGTAAAAGGCGTCGTGTTGTCTGACCTTGATGGATGCTACATTGCTTAAGTGAGACAGAGCTGGGAACCACAGCCAGAGAGAGTTGTCTCGTGGTCGGCTGCGTGACTGGGCTTAGCTCAGTCTGTCTGTTAAAGTCTACTTCAGGACAGGTTTGAGTGACCGGTGTGATTGACAAACCTGTGTCTCGTAGCGCCGTTTAGCACTGGAGGACACCTTCTCTGGAGAGATAAGTAACACGTTCATGTTACTGGAGGCGCTGCTCCCGTGCTGCTCTGATGATCCTGTCAAGCCACAGCGCGCGCACGCACGCACACACACACACACACACCCCTAATGAGACCATGGGAATATGGCTGAGCTGAGTTCCTCTACAGCCTTCTCACACCATCACCGACAGACACCAGTACACTGAGAAGCCATCATTGTTACCCAGCCTAATACGGCCAGTGTGTTGCATTAAGGTTTACATATACTGTGCGTGTGAGCCAGAAGTGGTGTGAAATGTAACACTAGCATTAATGACTTTGCAGCTCACATAATTCACCATCACCCTTTAAATTATCCATTCAACACAGCTCTACCACCATGTAGGAGCTCGTATGAAATCAAACCCAGAACCAAGTCAATGGTACTGAGGGTCATCCCTGGATACAGGGTCGAGAAGAGGCTGTTCAACTGTACCAGAGGTATTGACGAGTGACCCCTTGGGGTTCTGAAGAGAGACAGTCTCAGAGATTTCCCTGTTGGAGGAGAGACAAACACAGCTGTATTAGTCTCTTTCCCCAACAACACTAGAAGTCTATTACAGAGTTAGTGTGTGGGTTAGTAAACCGTGTTGTCACCGAATATTTCTCTCCTCAAAGAATTTGGTCCGACATTTCTGAACAATGTGATCCACAAGGTCAGACTCTGGAATCCTCTTCTCTGACTGCCTTTCCTTCTCAAAGGACTTGACCTGGGGACACACGGGGGATAGGGAGGGGAATCAGACCTGCTTCCAACACAAACTTTCATTCTACATTCTCATATTTTTCATATCAAACTAATGTATACATCAAACCATTTGGAATTCATATCAATACCATTTATATGCACCAAGCTTACAGCACAGGTGCAGTCCATTCATAGTACAAGTAGGAGAAACAGCCAACTAAGCCATATTCCATTTCACACTACATAGTCAGATGCTGGCCAAGTGAATGTATCAAAGTGCTGCATTCCACCCAGGACTTACAATCACATACAGTTGCAGTAAAGCACAGTTACTATGTAAAGAGCTTTGAGCATCTGGAAAAGCTCTATATAAAAATCAATTATCATTATAATTACCTTGATGTAGTTCCCCTCCTTGTCTGAGACCAGGGCCATGCAGGTGATGCCAGCCTGTCTACAGTGCTCCAGCAAAGTCTCCTGGGACTGGACACAACGACACAGTCAGACACAGAGGGGAACAAGAAACAGTGACACCAGAGCCATATTTAGAGAGTTACGCCAACTTTTAGAATATTGTTCTAATTCTAGAATTACAGCTACATAGCATTGTTTAAATATTCCCCATGTAATGTTAAAATGGGGAGCGTACACGGCTGTCATAGAACGTGTCGCTCAGTTGGTAGAGAAGGCGCTTGCAACGCCAGGGTTGTGCGTTCGATTCCCACGAGGGACTAATACGAGAAAATACACAAATGTATGCACTCACTACTGTAAGTCACTCTGGATAAGAGCGTCTGCTAAAATGTCAAATGTAAATGCATCATAATGCTCATTCCAGACATTCATTTTTATAGTATTTTTTAAATATTCCCCATGTAAATGTTAATTGGGAGCTAACATGGCTGGCATAGAACGTAAAAGTGTCATGTAAATGCATCATAATGCAGAATCGCACTGGCCCTACTCTAGATGGCTCTGATTGACTGTAGAAAGAAAACACTACTTTGTAATAGCCAAGTGTAAAAACAGTATATCCTGCTCCCAACATCACAATGGGCTCCAGATCCTGCAACCCATTTCTAGACCCAGACTAACATTTACAGCAACTGCTACTATGTGGATTAACCAACTGTGTGGTTTTGGTGAACTAGAACCTGCCTTGCATGTTATTGCACAACATGTGCTTGCTATAGGGGTTGTGGTTACAGTGGGCTACAGAGTTAAGTGGTTACAGTGAGCAAGTGGACCCCCTTCAACACTTTACAGTGTATTAGCTTGAGGATAAACTCTCCCTCAGCCCCATGTTTCTTATGTACGATGACAGTGGGATTATGGGAAAGATAGTTTGATGTGATGTGGCCTCCTGTAGCTCAGTTGGTAGAGCATGGCGCTTGCAACGCCAGGGTTGTGGGTTCGATTCCCACGGTGGGCCAGTATGAAAAATGTATGCACTCACTAACTGTAAGTCGCTCTGGATAAGAGCGTCTGCTAAATTACTAAAATGTAAAATGTGTTTAGTAAAGGTGGGCTGTCTGTCTAAGAGTACGAGTTGGAAGCAGTCCTGGTGGTTTAGGGGTGTCCTGAAAGCTGGGTTCTGGCAGGTTTCAGTGGCTTTCCTACATCTCATCAGTTCCTGTGCAAACAGAGAGCGTGTGCCGTACGTGTTGGACAACACGAGTGGAATGTCATAATAAAAGCAGAAAACTCCCCCATTTCACACTGAGATCAGAGTGGGTGCTGTGGTGGGGATAGGAGAGAGAGACCAGGGAAGGTTGAGATACCACTGGGCCATGGCAGCGAAAGGTCTGGATAATTCAAATGTGTGCTGGTGGAATGCTTCACTTGTGCCTCAAATTCCTCAGGCGCGGCGGAGAACCAAGTTTTGCTTGGAACGGAGAGCTGCTCTCCCCAGTGCCCAAACCGGGGCCTGTCCAGGTAGTGTACTCACCTGTGGCTGTGTGTGAGCAGCAGAGCTGATTTATCCTAATCAAATACTGCCAGACAGGTTTCCTCTGGCAGGCAGAGCTGGGTCAGACCAGAACAGTAGACTGCTGAGGAACAATCTCTTTACTGTTTATGACCTCTGCTCTGCTCTCCAGGAGTCTCGCTCCCCACCAGCTTCCTCACAGCAGCTCTCTCACTGACAGACAGAGCGAGCGAGCTAAGGCTACAGGTCCACCACTGTGGATGACTGAGGGCCGACCAGCTTTCTGCCATATGCCTCCCAGCTGACCGCATGTGGAAAGGGTTCACCATATTTGTCTAGTAAAAGCTAGAGGGGCTTTTATTTCACTGTACTTGTGCACGTGACAAAACTTTAAACTTTACCATCTCCAGACTATAAATTAGCACTTACTGGAGATTTGGCCAGTAAAAGCAGTGCATGTGAAAGGTGTTAACAATAGACCAGGAGGGGAGCAGCTTGACACTTTAAAAATAAACTGAACACGGCCACCTGACCACTGGATGTTGTCTCGCTCACTACAGAGGCAGTCTGAATCAGGCCATCACATAAACATGAAGAATGTGAGAGGCATGGCCCAGCACAGTGACACTACACCATTCACATTCACCAGGGAGATAACTACACATCTCAGGTGAGAATTGGTCAACAGACTTCACCTACAAACTGAAAGTAAAAACTGCTAATATAACTCTTTACAGTAACAGAGATGAGGAAAGTCGATCAAAGAAACAACTGGGCATCGTGTTTCTTAAACGAGCTACACTAACAGACTTATAAAAGGAACCTCAAAATGGATCCCATTCCCCTGAGTGTTTACAGTTCCATATACGGTAAAGGTAAATAACTTTACAGTAGCTTGCGAAAGTATTCACCCCCCTTGGAATTTTTCCTATTTTGTTGCCTTATAACCTGGAATTAAAATTGATTTGGGGGGGTTGTATCATTTGATTTACACAACATGCCTACCACTTTGAAGATGCAAAAACATTTTTGGGGTGAAACAAAAAGACAAAAAAACTGAAAACTTGAGCGTGCATAACTAATCACCCCCCCAAAGTCAATACTTTGTAGAGCCACCTTTTGCAGCAATTACAGCTGCAAGTCTCTTGGGGTACATCTCTATAAGCTTGGCACATCTAGCCACTGGGATTTTTGCCTATTCTTCAAGGCAAATCTGCTCCAGCTACATCAAGTTGGATAGGTTCCGCTGGTGTACAGCAATCTTTAAATCATACCACAGATTCTCAATTGGATTGAGGTCTGGGCTTTGACTAGGCCATTCGAAGACATTTAAATGTTTCCCCTTAAACCACTCAAGTGTTGCTTTAGCAGTATGCTTAGGGTCATTGTCCTGCTGGAAGGTGAACCTCCGTCCCAGTCTCAAATCTCTGGAAGAATGAAACAGGTTTCCCTCAATTCCGACCAGTTTCCCAATCCCTGCCAATGAAAAAACATCGGGGTGATGGTGTTCTCGGGGTGATGAGAGGTGTTGGGTTTGCGCCAGACATAGCGTTTTCCTTGATGGCCAAAAAGCTCAATTTTAGTCTCATCTGACCAGAGTACCTTATTCCATATGTTTGGGGAGTCTCCCACATGCCTTTTGGCGAACACCAAACATGTTTGCTTATTTTTTTCTCTAAGCAATGGATTTTTTCTGGCCACTCTTCCGTAAAGCCCAGCTCCTTCAGGGTTATCTTTGGTCTCTTTGTTGCCTCTCTGATTAATGCCCTCTTTGCCTGGTCCGTGAGTTTTGGTGGGCGGCCCTCTCTTGGCAGGTTTGTTGTGGTGCCATATTCGTTCAATTTGTTAATAATATATTTAATGCTGCTCCGTGGGATGTTCAAAGTTTCTGATATTTTTTTATAACCCAACCCTGATCTGTACTTCTCCACAACTTTGTCCCTGACCTGTTTGGAGAGCTCCTTGGTCTTCATGGTGCCGCTTGCTTGGTGGTGCCCCTTGCTTAGTGGTGTGGCAGACTTTATTTAACTAATTATGTGACTTCTGAAGGTAACTGTTTGCACCAGATCTTATTTAGGGGCTTCATAGCAAAGGGGGTGAATACATATGCACACACCACTTTTCCGTTATTTATTTTTTAGAATTATTTTAAACAAGTTATTTTTTGTCATTTCACTTCACCAATTTGGACTATTTTGTGCATGTCCATTACATGAAATCCAAATAAAAATCAATTTAAATTACAGGTTGTAATGCAACAAAATAGGAAAAACGCCAAGGGGGGATGAATACTTTTGCAAGGCACTGTACATGCAGTTTGGTCTGCCTATCCATGTGGGGTAGAATAGAATGGAGGTGTTGCCACCTGTTGGTTTGGTATTTTCACAGCAGACGGCACTACGGGCTGCTCATCACTGACCTGTGACACGTCATAGACAATGTCAGCAGAAACACCGGCTGTCCACAGCTTCTGGACCACGTTGATGGCTCGGCCCATGGAGGTGTGACCTACTGGCACCACCAGCACATCACACAAACTGATAGAGGGCTAGCAGACACAGAGTTAGGTTAAAACATGCTCACACAAAGAGTTCCACACAAATTCTCAGTTAACTACAGAGGGGGTAGACCCATCAACTGTCATTGTACAGTATATACAAATGGGAGCCTTTCCAAAACAGCTAAATTTTAGAGGCTGTATAATAACAGACATTAACTTTCATGGAGGCTCAAAGTAATAAGCCATTAACAAATATGACCTTCTGTGTCTGTGGGTCATTAACACTGATGAATTGTTAATAGTACTCACCGGCTCCTCCATGCTGGCCAGGGCAGCACAGATCTTGTCCAGAGCCACACTGGCCCCTACTGCCGAAGGGACAGGAGCAGAGGACGCTGGGCCACGGAACTCAAGGATCTACAGGAAGAGAACCCTGATAAGGACTAAATCCTGATAGTTCAACACTTCCAAGGACCTGAGCAGGAGGGTGGTAGGATGGGGACATTACCAGGTGGTCGTATCTTCCTCCTGCAGCCATGATGTCTGGCACTGTGCGTCTGCGTTTCTTGATGAAGGCCACAAACTGGAAGATGACCCCACAATGGTGTTGCACCTTATAAACCAGACCCAGATTTACAACCACCTACAAGACACACAAAAACGAGAGAGAATCAATAAATCCGCAGGAAACACACACAAAATGCCATTCTCTTCATACACCAGACTCGGAGTAAGAGTTAGGAAGTGGGAGATCTAGTAGTAGTGGTACCTGTAGCTTGACTCCCAGCCTCCTGAGCAGGCCAGTGAGTTCCTCCAGGTCTTTGAGGCCCTGCTTGGCCAGCTGGGTGACGGCAGTCTTCTGTTTGGTCAAAGAGGTGATGAGGGGGACCAGGTCCTGCAGGTCTCCTTTCTGCTCTATGTACTTATACAGAGTCTGTAACTGACAGGGAGACACAGACAACATCGGACATGGACAGAGAAAATACAGTATCGGTTCAAAAAAGGCTGACCTTGAGCAGAGAAAAGTGGAGACACTGATGAATTCACCAGACCAGTCATAAGCACCAGATGCCAGAGACAACAGGAGGTACTTACACTGTTGTTTGACAGGGACAGGTTACAGAACTTGGCCTCCACCTCTCTTCTGGTCAGCTTTTCACTCTATGAACAGAGACAGGATACCATTATACAATTTTATAGTTCCAGTTGTAGAACAAAAATGTAAATGGACAAAACTTATTTCACACAATGTACACATGCATAGTGTGTTTAACTTGCACATGAGCGCCGTGTGTAGAGTACTAACCATGGCGTCACAGAGGATGCTGGAGGCATGGCTCAGTTTGTCCTCGGGGACGCCGCTGTGTAGCAGAATGGCCTTCAGCAGGCTGGTGTGGTTCAGGTAGATGTGGTAGTTCCTCTCCTAACACACCATCCAACAACACACCATTACACCACCCAACAGTGTCTCTCCTGGTAGAGAGTGGTAGTTCCTATCCTAACAGCATCATCAAACACAAACACAATAACACCTGAGCACAATTACAGTCCAGCCTCATCCCTAAAGCACTACTGTAGGACTGCTCAGTGAATAATGGCCACAGGCTGGATGCTGCCCTCTCATTCAGAGTGACATACATTCTTAAAAGCTTTCACACACAGAGAAGGGGGGGGGGGGGGGGGTTATACAGTAAGTGGTGCAATCAGGGAGAGGGAGGGCCTTTTAGAGGTGGCCTGGCGGCATGCTGGTCTTCTAGCTGTAGTAGAGCAGGCCTGGGTTGGAATGGGTTCGTGCTGGGTGAACTGTGCCTCCTGCACTGTCTAGAACCCAGGGAGTGAACAGGTCTGTGACCAGAGCTAGACAGAGAGTGGACAGTAGTGTCTGGGGCCAAGTTGAGACAGGGAGTATACTGTAAAGGACAGTATGGTCTGTGACCTTAGCTAGACTGACAGGGGAAGTAACATGGTAAGAGGAATTACTAGACGGAGTGGTAACAGTGTGGTACCTGCAGGACACTGAACTCCTCGATAATCTCTGAGATGGTGAAGATGGTCTCAGCGTCAGGCAGCAGGCTGTTAGTGACAGGGACAATGATGTCAAAGGCACACTCCAGCAGCTCCCTGGGGTGGGCCCTGTCCAGCTTTCTGGGCCGGAACACACGCTCAATGCTCCACCTACACACACACACCATTAAATTAAGCTGGTTTCATTACATTACACTGGGCATAAACACATGCTCGATGCTGTACACACACACACACACATACGTACACACACACACACACGCACGTACACACGCGCACACACAGGATGACATCCACAGGTTTATCAAAGACTGAACATGCATATGAAATGGTTAGATTCAAGTACTCAGTGATTGACTCCTGACTATGAGATTTACCTCTTGAAATGGGTAATATTATTTCTGGCCACAAATCTTGCGAATGCCATCTGGAATGGAGACAAGAGAGAGAATAAGTAAAACAGTGCATGCAGGACTACAATACATCACTATGGAAACACACAGTTAGTCCCGAGGTTGTCCCAGGGTTGTCCCGGAGTTATCCTGGCCCTAGTCCACTGAGTGCTGGGATCATTGAGGGCTAGTTAACGGAGCGTGTAGTACTTCCTGCTTCCTGATGCTCACCCGGAGGTCATAGGGCAGGGTGACCAGCATGCCACTGTGGTCCATGAAGCAGGCCGGCTCACTGCCCTCATACAGCTTCCTGTTCCTGGGGAGGAGCAGGGGGGTCTGGAGACGCACAGCCCCTGGAAAGACAGCCACAGAGACACTAATGTAAATGTATGATAATAAGTTTAATGTACACTAAACAAATTATAAACGCAACATACAACAATTTCAAAGATTTTACTGAGTTACAGTTCATAAGGAAATCAGTCAATTGAAATAAATTAATTAGGCCCTAATCTATGGATTTCACATGACTGGGAATACAGATATGCATCTGTTGGTCACAGATACCTATTTTTTTATTTATTTTTAAGGTAGGGGCGTGGATCAGGAGACCAGTCAGTATCTGGTGTGACTACCATTTGCCTCATGCAGCGCGACACATCTCCTTCGCATAGTTGATCAGGCTGTTGATTGTTGCCTGTGGAATGTTGTCCCACTCCTCTTCAATGGCTGTGCGAAGTTTCTGGATATTGGCGGGAACTGGAACACGCTGTCAATCCAGAGCATTCCAAACATGCCAGGTGAGTATGCAGGCCATGGAAGAACTAGGACATTTTCAGCTTCCAGGAATTGTGTACAGATCCTTGCGACATGGGGCTGTGCATTATCATGCTGAAACATGAGGTGATGGCGGCGGATGTAGTCCCCTGTAGCTCAGTTGGTAGAGCATGGCGCTTGCAACGCCAGGGTTGTGGGTTCGTTTCCCACGGGGGGCCAGTATGAAAATGTATGCACTCACTAACTGTAAGTCGCTCTGGATAAGAACGTCTGCTAAATGACAAAAAAAAATAAAAAAATGACAATGGGCCTCAGGATCTCATCACGGTATCTCTGTGCATTCAAATTGGGTTCGATAGGTTGTGGGTTCGATTCCCACGGGGGGGTATGAAAAAAATAATGTATGCACTAACTGTAAGTCGCTCTGGATAAGAGCGTCTGCTAAATGACTAAAATGTCAATGTAAATTGCCATCGATAAAATGCAATTGTGTTCGTTGTCTGTAGCTTATGCCTTCCCATACCATCACCCCACCATGGGGCACTCTGTTCACAACACTGGCATCAGCAAACCGCTCGCCCACACGACGCTATACATGCTGTCTGACATCTGCCCGGTACAGTTGAAACTGGGTTTCATCCGTGAAGAGCACACTTCTCCAGCGTGCCAGTGGCCATCGAAGGTGAGCATTTGCCCACTGAAGTCGGTCACGATGCCGAACTGCAGTCAGGTCAAGATCCTGCTGAGGACGACGAGCACGCAGATGAGCTTCCCTGAGACGGTTTCTGACAGTTTGTGCAGAAATTCTTTAGTTGAGCAAAGCCACAGTTTCATCAGCTGTCTGGGTGGCTGGTCTCAGATGATCCCGCAGGTGATGAAGCTAGATGTGGAGGTCCTGGGCTGGCGTGGTTACAAGTAGTCTGCGGTTATGAGGCCGGTTGGAAGTACTGCCAAATTCTCTAAAACGACGTTGGAGGTGGCTTATGGTAGAGAAATGAACATTCAATTCACTGACAACAGCTCTGGTGGACATTCCTGCAGTCAGCATACCAATTGCATGCTCCCTCAAAACGTGAGACATCTGTGGCATTGTGTTGTGTGACAAAACTGCACATTTTAGAGTGGCCTTTTATTATCCCCAGCATAAGGTGCACCTGTGTAATGATCATGCTGTTTAATCAGCATCTTGATATGCCACACCTGTCAGGTGGATGGATTATCTTGGCAAAGGAGAAATGCTCACTAACAGGGTTGTACACAACATTTTAGAGAAATACGCGTTTTGTGCATACAGGAACATTTCTGGGATCTTTTATTTCAGCTCATGAAACATGGCACCAACACTTTACATGTTGCGTTAATATTTTTGTTCAGTATACATACAAATATAAACATTAAAAGACACAATCTGGAAGTTCAACTTCAACCAGTGTGCCTGCCAGCCAAATACAGCATCTACTTTGCATATTGCATAATTTTAAAAAAGTAATCTAAACCTGGACAGACCAGAAACTGAATAAACAACTCCAATAAAGAACCGCAGCGAGTTAAAATGTCTACAACATGTATCAATATACACAAAAGTATGTGGACACACCTTCAAATTAGTGGATTTGGCTATTTCAGCCACACCCGTTGCTGACAGGTGTATACAATCGAGCACACAGCCATGCAATATCCATAGACAAACATTGCCAGGAGAACACTACCTGCCCGAATGCATAGTGCCAACTGTAAAGTTTGGTGGATGAGGAATAATGGTCTGGGGCTGTTTTTCATGGTTCGGGCTAGGCCCCTTTGTTCCAGTGAAGGGAAATGTTTACGCTACAGCATACAATGACATTCTAGACGATTCTGTGCATCCAACTTTGTGGCAACAGTTTGGGGAAGGCCTTTTCCTGTTTCAGCATGACAATGCCCCCATGCATAAAGCGTGGTCCATACAGAAACGGTTTGTCAAGATCGGTGTGGAAGAACTTGACTGGCCTGCACAGAGCCCTGACCTCAACCCCATCGAACACCTTTGGGATGAATTGGAACGCCGACTGCGAGCCAGGCCTAATCGCCCAACATCAGTGCCCGACCTATTTGAAGAATCTCAAATATGTTTTGATTTGTTTAACACTTTTTTGGTTAATACATGATTCCATATGTGTTATTTCATAGTTTATGTCTTCACTATTATTCTACAATGTAAAAAATAGTAAAAATACTGAAAAACCCTTGAATGAGTAGGTGTGTCCAAACTTTTGACTGGTAGTGTATGCGAGCAGATGTTCAAATCAAGGCCCCAGTGAGGTCTTCATAACAGCAACTTTAAAGTGGAATGGGTCAAGTCATTTGCACAAGAGAGTAAACTTCACTTCAGCTCTTAAAATGAGACTCTGAATCTGGACTCACCATGTTTCTTGAAGATCCTGGTGATTGTTTCGTACACATACTGTTGCAATTTGGCACTGTTTAAATTAAAGTTGCCCTGCAGCAAAACAAAGACAGTCTGTTAGGAATCAAAAGGCATCGATTAAAGCTCAAACAGTCCCGCCAGATATGAACCAGATGACAGGAGAACTGCATAATCACAGAAGCAGCATCATTACTGTGTCTACAGTGACACCTACAGGAGGAGATGGGTAGCTCTTCCTACTCTGGACCATTCTATTCTTGGAGTTCAACAGTTTCTCCAAGACTTGTCTGTCATAAACAATAGTTTGAGATGCTATGATGTGGTAGAGAGGATAGTGACGCCCAAGTATTAATGTCTGGTTGGCTTTGGGTTGTGTTTGTCTTTGTATGGTAGGCCGCTAGGACAGGTTTGAGGGTCTGCTCCACTGTGTTGGCCGGAGCAGTAGGCCTGGTACCTTGTGGAGGTCAACATCGTAGGTGTAGTCCATGACGGGGGAGGTGTTCTGGGAGAACAGCTTGTTGACCATGGTGCGGTAGGCCTTGCCGTTGACGTTAGCCATGGTGTGCTGCAGGACCTCGTGGAGCTCCGACTCCTCCATCTGGGGCGGGGGCAGCAGATCACTCTTCAGGAGCTCCTGGGCCGTGGGACGCAGGGCCGGGTCATGGTTCAGCAGCCAGCCAATCACCTTCCTCTGAGATAGACACTGGGCTAAGGATCAGTCAATCAAAGTAAAACTGCCTATACTGTGTAATGTCACTCAGTTTGGTTTCATTACAAACTTCCCATTGTGGGACTTTAAAGTGACCTACTACTTCAACTTTTTACATAGTTTCACAAAAATTCAGAGAGCTGAGAGTATAACTTGTGTAACATGAATTGAATACGTCCTTCCTCACCTGCGTTCCACTCTTACACTCAGGGAAGTCTTCAGGGAAGTGGATGTCCTCCTGCAGAGTGGAATGACAAGAGTAATGGGACAGTGATGAGAGATGAGTGAGTGAGACCCTTCCCGTTGCCCCCCCAACCCCACACCTGTGCTGGACAGACTCACCGTGCGCAGCTGGCTCAGGACTGAAATGCGTTCAGAGCCAGTGGTCATGGGTCGGTAGGACATCTCAAACAGGATGATACCCAAGCTAAACAGATCCACTTTCTAAGGAGAAACACAGATCACGGATGAACCCTCTTCCCTTTACATCTGGTTTAAACAATCAATCCTGAATTATATATCTCCTACTAAGGATACAGTAACACTGTTGGAAAACCTTGAACTACCTCAAAACAGATGGAGGACACTAGTATATGCTCCACCAAGGAGTCAAGGCCCTTAAATCATTACAAGTTATTATAATTCCTAGACTACTTTGAGATTACTTTTTTGGATGAATGACTGTACTGAGACAGTGTCTCTTTATTTTATTCTTCTGAATTGACGTTGGTGTGTGTTCCATTCATATTTCTTGCCTGGTTGTAAGTGGCTTTGGTATTTCCTTGCACCTCTGGACTGACATATAGGGCAGTACCAACCATACCAGTCATATTCCCTGTTCAGAAATAAAACATAATCAGTTTTGCAAATATATAGTCACAGACCCTGAGACACGTTATAAGCCAGTTAGAGAAGAATGGATTTTGCTTCTCAGTACCTGTTGGGTCCGGTTTGAGAATCAGAACAGATCCACTCTCCTCAATATCCAGTTTACCTGCTGCGGCCTGAGGGGAGGAGATGATTTCTACAGTCAAAACCAGTTCTTTGTTAATTATTGAGTTATTTGGACACAGAATAAAAACACAAGGAATACACAAACTTTTTTTTAAAGCTTCAACATTCCACTTTAGCCAGAAGATTCCGACCCTACCGTTACGCTTGTTTACACTGACCTGCACCGGGGTTGGAACACCATCATGGTTAAATTAAGACTTGTGACTAATTACTTGAAATGGTCTTGATTGTTGAACAATGACCAGTCATCAGCATTGGCACGCAAAGGCAGGCTTGCATATCCAGAGATTATGGACCAGAAAGCACTTGCTTCATTTTCTCAGGTTTTGCTTGACAAAAACAGAGTAGGCCTATGTTATATAATCCATATAAACATATACAGTGCATTTCGGAAAGTATTCAGACCCCTTGACGTTTTCCACATTCTGTTCCATTACAGCCTTAATCTAAAATTGATTAAATTGTTTTTTTTTTCCTCTCATCAATCTACACACAATACCCCAGAATGACAAAGCAAAAACACGTTTTTAGATATTTAAAAAAATATCACATGTAGATAAGTATTCAGACCCCTTACTCATTACTTTATTGAAGCATCTCTGGCAGCGATTACAGCCTAGAGTTTTCTTGGGTATGATGCTACAAGCTTGGCACACCTGTATTTGGGGAGTTTCTTCCATTCTTCTTTGCAGATCCTCTCAAGCTCTGTCAGGTTGGATGGGTGCGTCGCTGCACAGCTATTTTCAGGTCTCTCCAGAGATGTTCGATTGGGTTCAAGTCTGGGCTCTGGCTGGGCCACTCAAGGACATTCAGAGACTTGTCCCGAAGCCACTCCTGCGTTGTCTTGGCTGTGTGCTTAGAGTTGTCGTCCTGTTGGAAGGTGAACCTTCGCCCCAGTCTGAGGTCCTGAGCAGGTTTTCATCAAGGATCTCTCTGTACTTTGCACCGTTCATCTTTCCCCTCGATCCTGACTAGTCTCCCAGTCCCTGCCACTTGAAAAATATCCCCACAACATGATGCTTCAGCTTAGGGATGGTGCCAGGTTTCCTCCAGACGTGACGCTTGGCATTCAGGCCAAAGAGTACAATCTTGGTTTCATCAGACCAGAGAATCTTGTTTCTCATGGTCAGAGTCCTTTAGGTGCCTTTTGACAAACTCCAAGTGTGCTGTCATGTGCCTTTTACTGAGGAGGGATTGTTGGAGTGCTGCAGAGATGGTTGTCCTTCTGGAAGGTTCTCCCATCTCCACAGAGGAACTCTGGAGCTCTGTCAGGGTGACCATCGGGTTCTTGATCACCTCCCTGACCAAGGCCCTTCTCCCCCGATTGCTCAGTTTGTCCGGGCAGCCAGCTCTAGGAAGAGTCTTGGTGGTTCCAAACTTCTTCCATTTAAGAATGATGGAGGCCACTGTGTTCTTGGGGACCTTCAATGCTGCACACTTGGTACCCTTCCCCAGATCTGTCTCGACACAATCCTGTCGTCTCGGAGCTCTACGGACAATTCCTTCGACCTCATGGCTTGGTTTTTGCTCTGACATGCACTGTCAACTGTGGGACCTTATATAGACAGTTGTGTGCCTTTACAAAACATGTCAAATCAATTGAATTTACCACAGGTGGACTCCAATCAAGTTGTTGAAACATTTCAAGGATGATGAATGGAAACAGGATGCAGCTGAGCTCAATTTCGAGTCTCATAGCAAAGGGTATGAATACTTATGTAAATAAGGTATCTGTTTTTTATTTTTAATACATTTGCAAAAATGTCTTAACCCGTTTTCGCTTTATCCTTATGGGGTATTGTGGGGTATTTATTTAATGCCTTTTAGAATAAGGCTGTAACATAACAAAATGTGGAAAAGGTCAAGGGGTCTGAATACTTTCCGAATGCACTGTATACAGTTTAGAAATCTACTATGGAGGCACCTTTGCCAGAACAATACATCGGTTACCTGGTGATTTCATTGATCCTTTTCATATTTCAGATATGCCTAGTTTGGTCTGCTACTGGCTGGCTATATGTCTAAAGATAGTTGTAACATCGCACTGCCTTCAATATTATGGGATGAAGATAACATATTCTGGCAAATTAATTACGGTATATGTGAGGAAGAAAAGGTCTACCCAGTTCAGTTGGCAACGAGCATTCTGTGGGCAGGCCGCCCTCCAAAGTGATAGCGGGCGGTGTAGACAGATCATGCTTTCCAGCCAATCCTGCAACCTCCACTGCATACAGGTAGGCCGTATGATCCTGCTTGCTCTGGACTCCAGAGAAGTGACATGATATCCGTAGTTGATATTGACTGCTAACATGAATGACTTTCAGCTACAAATGCAGGTGAAAAAAAACGCAGTTTATTTCTGTACCTTGCATTTTGAAAATGCATAACCGTTTATGGCTATAATGAGGTTACATTTGCGCAGCTGTTATGCGCGCATGGTTGCGAGCTTTGAAGCACTGCTTTTTGAGTGTTGCGAGAAAAAATAAAAAGTTTGAGAATCAGCAAGTTTCAGAGCTAGCAAACAGATTGCTAATTTGCTGTACAGCTATAGGATCAGGTGCAGCGCAAACATCAAATTGTAGAGAGAGAGTATTGCCATAAATATATAGCTCAAAAAATTGTTTGGTGATCAAGAATACTTTACAAGCGCACCAGCAGTGGGGCATCAAGCAACAATTACTAGCATAGGCCTACTGGTCTTTTGGTATGTCATAATTGCTTGAAATTAATAATGTACTTATGAATCTTGCATTTGGAATTTGTTATTAACATTATTACATAATCTAAATGTGTTATAGACAAAATAATGAGAAGGGCTGTCTGGTTCCTCAATAAACAGACAAAGATTTGTAGTTGAATGTACAGATTATTTTTTTTACTTGATTTAAGACTTGACTTGAAAGAACTTGTGGCTCTACTCGACTTGACTTGCGCTTAGAATGCACGACTTGGACAGGACTCGAGACTCAACCCTTTCTACTTGGGATTTGACTTGAGACTCTGCCCTTGTGTCTTGAGACTTGCTTTTGACACAAATATTAGTGACTTGTTCCCACCTCTGAACAAGCGAAACGGTAGGGTCGGAATATTTTGACTACATTCCACTTAGGCTGCGTTCACACAGGCAGCCCAATTCTGATTTTTTTTTGTTGCACTAATTGGTCTTTCAACCAATCACATCAGATCTTTTTCCGAGCTGATCTGATTGGTCAAAAGACCAATTAGTGAAAGAAATGATCAGAATTGGTCTGCCTGTAAACGCAGCCTTAAGCTTTTTCACACTGCAGGCCTTAATGCTCAAATCAGTTTTGTTTTTCAAATCTGTTTTGGACTACTGACAGCAACAAGTTACCAAATCGGATGTGTGTGTTCAGACAGCAGTCATTTGCTGACAAGGCTATGCTAGTTGTCATAGTAATGACGGGAGTGTGTGCAGTGGTGTAGGCTGATTGATGGTGGTGCTTGTGCTTCATATCACTCAGAAGTAATGTAGCAAGCTAAGGTGACAATGCCTGCCATTTCCCAGTTGCTTTGAATGTTCAAAATCATAGTGTAAGAACACTTAAAGCCTCAAAGGATGATCCAACTTTCAAAACGAGTCCTTTTTGGATAGCCACAGAAGTCAACTAGCTAGCTAGGTAGCTGTTTAGCTTTATAGCACATTCACTAATTTGTTTGTAAACAATTAAAAAGCTAGTTAGCTACCACATGTTCTTGTCAAACTGTCAACAGAGTAGCTAGCAAGCAACAAAATATGCCAAATAACCTAGTCTAAAATCCACTTAAATCAGATTTGACCGTTCAGACAAGTCGCATGGCCAGGAATCAGATTTGTATCCGACTTCAAACCACCTACGAAGGTGGTTTGAAATGTGGCTTGAAATATCTGATTCCATGTGCTTTTTGGCTGTTCAGACTGCAGGAAAAAGAACAAGATTCAAATTGGATATGCAAATAAATAGGATTTGAGTCACTTCAAACTGCCAATGTGAACACGGCTTTAGAGACCTCAACATGAACTTCAAGGTATCAGTTAATTAATCTCCATCACCAGGAGACAGCGGAGCCGAGGACATTAATGCATACCACATTAGCAGGATGGTCTGTGGCCAGGCCAAAATCTCCAATTTTCACATGGTCCTGAGAGTCCAAGAAAATGTTGACGGGCTTGAGGTCTCGATGAATCATCCCCTGTTGGAAAGATGGAGGTGATCAATTAGTGCTAATTGGAACCATTGCTGAAAGCATGTCATGCATGCCATCATTGTTGTTCTGGGCTGTGCTGTGACAACTTGGAAGGAAGGAACATGCATACCAAAACATTTGAGTGTTTGAGAAAAAGAGAAGAGGATCCTTTAATTTACAATTTTGCAAAGGTGGATAATGAGTCATCAATAATTCCTACATGACAAATTATATCCCACTTCAATTTCCACTATGAACCTTTCTTTGACATTGGGATCTGAAGATTTAGCAGATACTTGGAGTGGAACAGCAGAATCACAAGCAGTGACTGTCTTGGACTCCCTCCTTCCTAACCGAATGTGACAGGACAGTCCCACCTCTCTCCTCTCTCCTCTCTTCTCAAATTCTCTGATCTTTACATTACATCTCTGTTCCACACCCTAAAGCAGACATTTAACCCTGCAGTACACTCTGAGGAGGACATTAATTAGGGGAGGCGGAGGGTTCACAGACAGACCTGTTGGTGGATGTAAGCCAGTCCATCCAGGACCTCCCTGAAGAATCTCCACAGGCGACTTTTGTCCTGATGGAGGCCCTGGTCAATGGTGTCTCGTAAAGTGCTTTTTTCACAGTATTCCATCTGGAGGGAGAAGAGAACACAGGTTAGATATTAGACATAGAACAGTGTCCTCTAGTGGGGTATTAGTTGAGTGCTAGTGAACTGAGCCTTACCTGGATGTAAAGATAATGGGCTATGAGCTGTGGCCTCTCAGAGTCTGTGCTCTCTATCATGTCACCACCCATTCTCTTGCTTGGCTCTTCCTGAGGGATGGAGATTACATTGATTAAATTGATGCAAGTAACACACAGCATGACGATAATATGTGACTGAATTCAGGAAGGAGAGCTTATGTCCAATTTTCAAGAATGACTATTTTTATTTTTTATTATTCATTTTATAAAAGTACACTCAGAGCTTCAAAATGGTATATCATACACTGTAGTTGAGGGAAACATTGGAAAGTTATGCTTCTTTGAAATCTGATTATCTTGTTATCCCACTTTGGAGAAAAGTAGGAGAATAATGCCCTTGAATGATTTTCACGCTTTCTAGAGAGCGCTTCTTTGTTTACGCTCCCATTCAGCATAGTTTACAACCTCTTATGCCTCAGCCCCAACCATCTCTTTAAGAAATCACATGTAAAAGCACAAGTCAGCATGACATTGTCCTCCAGAAATTAGTCTCTCAATTATCTTCCTTCATTATCTCAACCAATCATGGATCCTGCCTTTCTCCCTAAATACAGTGCTTTTCCATGGCTAAACTAGGCTCATCATTAATTTCTCTCATCAATATTTACAGATCTCATACAAGTTTGTAATTAAGGCATATGAAAGTTCACATGTTCAAGGAGGCGTTTCTGCACAGAAAATACATAAATAAATAAATAAATAAATAACGGCCCTACTGTGAAGTAGGAAATGGCGTCAAATGCCTACGATTCTGAATCGGGTCACATCTAAACACTAACCTGGGATATGCTGCCATCTCCATTGTCAAAAATGATGTCACTCTCCGAGTCACTGTTTGATGGGCTAGACGCAAACAAACCAAAGCAAATACCAAAAGTCAATAATTGTAGTTCCATATATCAAGAGTACAGAGCATATACTATGTGAAAAGAATCTCCGATAGATGCTATTACACCATCAAAGCTATTTTGGCCTGCACACTCCAATAGTTATGATGCCTTAGGAGAACTCACAGGAACGAGGCACAGAAAACATCATCATCATCATCATCCTCCTCCTCCTCCTCCTCCTCGTCGCTGGACTCGTGACCACTGCACTTGGCGCTAGAGGACCTCTCGATGGAGGTGCTCCACTCCACCGAGCTGGCCAGGGCAGGGGGTGGGGCGTTATCCTCCACGTTGTCAAGCATGCTGATTCCCAGCTCGTTGAGGCCTAGAGAAGGGGCTTGGACCTGAGGCAGTCTCTCCGCTGTGCTCCGGGCCTCGGAGCTGTCTGAGCTCAGTACCCCCATGGAGGTGGTCTCGTGCCTCTCGATCCAGGCGTTGTAGTAGCGGACGATGTTCTCATGGTTGAGGCGCGACAGCAGCGTCACCTCACCTTTGATCCTACGGAACTGCTTACTGGCCGGGTTCACCTGGATACGCTTCACAGCATAGTAACAGCCATCCAGCTTGTTCTGGACCTAAACACAACGACAGGATGGAAAGAGAAAAAGAGATGGGTCGGGAGACAAACATTATGTGAACAATAACCATGGACTTAATAAAGGGGAAGGCTATGAAAGCTACTGTCAGCTATGCTATATTAAACATGGGTTACCTTGATAACGGCACCAAAAGCTCCTTTCCCCAGCAGCTGTAACTCCTCAAACTCGTTGAAGTAGCGTGAGAACTGCCTCTGCAGCCCAGTGCTGAATGGAGCATTGAGGATGTGACTGTGAGGGATGACCGACGACACAAAGTCATCACCAATGTCTGGGAGAGGACAGAATACATCCGTTAGGATTCTACAGTGAGGGAAAAAGTATTTGATTCCCTGCTGATTTTGTACGTTTGCCCACTGACAAAGACATGATCAGTCTATAATTTTAATGGTAGGTTTATTTGAACAGTGAGAGAAGAATAACAACAACAAAAATCCAGAAAAACATGTCAAAAATGTTATAAATTGATTTTTCATTTTAATGAGGGAAATAAGTATTTGACCCCCTCTCAATCAGAAAGATTTCTGGCTCCCAGGTGTCTTTTATACAGGTAACGAGCTGAGATTAGGAGCACACTCTTAAAGGGGGTGCTCCTAATCTCAGTTTGTTACCTGTATAAAAGACACCTGTCCACAGAACCAATCAATCAGATTCCAAACTCTCCACCATGGCCAAGACCAAAGAGCTCTCCAAGGATGTCAGGGACAAGATTGTAGACCTACACACGGCTGGAATGGGCTACAAGACCATCGCCAAGCAGCTTGGTGAGAAGGTGACAACAGTTGGTGCGATTATTCGCAAATGGAAGAAACACAAAATAATTGTCAATCTCCCTCGGCCTGGGGCTCCATGCAAGATCTCACCTCGTGGAGTTGCAATGATCATGAGAACGGTGAGGAATCAGCCCAGAACTACACGGGAGGATCTTGTCAATGATCTCAAGGCAGCTGGGACCATAGTCCGTGAAGGACTGAAATCCTGCAGCGCCCGCAAGGTCCCCCTGCTCAAGAAAGCACATATACAGGCCTGTCTGAAGTTTGCCAATGAACATCTGAATGATTCAGAGGAGAACTGGGTGAAAGTGTTGTGGTCAGATGAGACCAAAATTGAGCTCTTTGGCATCAACTCAACTCGCCGTGTTTGGAGGATGAGGAATGCTGCCTATGACCCCAAGAACATCATCCCCACCGTCAAACATGGAGGTGGAAACATTATGCTAAGGGGGTGTTTTTCTGCTAAGGGGACAGGACAACTTCCCCGCATCAAAGGGACGATGGACGGGGCCATGTACCGTCAAATCTTGGGTGAGAACCTCCTTCCCTCAGCCAGGGCATTGAAAATAGGTCGTGGATGGGTATTCCAGCATGACAATGACCCAAAACACACGGCCAAGGCAACAAAGGAGTGGCTCAAGAAGAAACACATTAAGGTCCTGGAGTGGCCTAGCCAGTCTCCAGACCATAATCCCATAGAAAATCTGTGGAGGGAGCTGAAGGTTTGAGTTGCCAAACGTCAGCCTCGAAACCTTAATGACTTGGAGAAGATCTGCAAAGAGGAGTGGGACAAAATCCCTCCTGAGATGTGTGCAAACCTGGTGGCCAACTACAAGAAATGTCTGACTTCTGATTGCCAATAAGGCTTTTGCCACCAAGTACTAAGTCATGTTTTGCAGAGGGGTCAAATACTTATTTCCCTCATTAAAATGCAAATCAATTTATAACATTTTTGACATGCATTTTTCTGGATTTTTTTGTTGTTATTCTGTCTCTCACTGTTCAAATAAACCTACCATTAAAATGATAGACTGATCATGTCTTTGTCAGTGGGAAAACATACGAAATCAGCAGGTGATCAAATACTTTTTTCCCCCTCACTGTATATCTTGAATCAAGACTCTTAAAAAGGCAACCATTTTCCCACAACATTATAGGCTTGGAGACTGAAAATAGCTAGTGGCCCTGATCTGAACTTAGTTGTCACCTTCTGGACTAGCGTCCTGGCACTGTGGAGGGGTCTTTGGAAGTGGAGGGTTGAGGAAAGAGTGGTCCAAGAGCTGCTGGGTGTTCCAGCGGTCAGCATCATTCAGACACACACACCTATCGCACAGAACAGAACAGAGAACGGTGCATTAAGCATGGAAACTTCCAAATTAACAGAGCTGACATTCCTGGCATGGCCCACTGTGGCCTGTCAACATCTAATCCTCTGGTCCACATTGTGTTACTCTGTAAAGCACATTTTCATTTAGAATTCAACCACAGGAAAAATTTAAGTTTTAATAGAATGCCACCATTAAAATGTGAGGTACAGGCATGGAAGTGGCTGAGACTAGCTGTCTGGCTGACACTAAGTAATACCCTCTGCCCATTTCTTTGTAGATCCATGGAGCGGAGAGTGAGCAGCCAGGAGCTGGGTGGTGTGCTGGCGGAGGCGGTCCAGTGGGATGGGGTTCTATGTAAAAATGTATGCGCACATGACTGTAAGTCGCTTTGGATAAAAGCGTCTGCTAAATGGCATATTATTATTATTATTACACCGAGACTAGCTGTCTGGCCGACACCGAATCTAGCTGTCTGGCCAAACTGAATGGATGGTTCTTGTCAGGCAGGCATACCTGTTGAGGAAGTCCTGGAAGTCAGCGGGCAGGCTGGTGGGCACAGACACTGGGTACTCCCTGACCTCCTTCCCCTGGCTCAGTGCCAGCAGCATCAGCCCCAGGCTCCACACGTCCCCTTTCTTCCCAGCCTTGGTGGGCAGCGCGTCCTCACAGAAGCGCACGCGGGCCTGCTCAAAGATGTCCTCCTTGCAGATGTCGCCCAGTCTCTTGGAGAGGCTGTAGTCTGTGAGACGCACATTGCCCAAGTGGTCCAGCAACACGCTGGAGGCGCCCAGCTGCTTGTGGACCACAGAGTTGGAGTGGAGGTAGTCGAGGGCAGCCAGGAGCTGGGTGGTGTGCTGGCGGAGGCGGTCCAGTGGGATGGGGTTCTGGCTGGACAGGCTCTGGCTCAGGCTGCTGCTGCCTCCCACATGCTCTACCAGCAGGTCCACCACCAGGCAGTCATCCCTCTCACTGGAGCTCAAGGCCTGGTAGTGCACCAGGTTAGGGTGTTTCAGCTTTAGCAGGGAGTTCAGCTCACTCTCCGCTCCATGGATCTACAAAGAAATGGGCAGAGGGTATTACTTAGTGTGTAGGCCTCTGTTCCAATATCTTGACATCTATTAGTCCTACATCTGATGTCAGGATCTCAGCTAGGAATTACTCACCTGCTTTTTACAATTGTCAATCTTCCCCTTTTCTTCACTGGTGAAGAACTTGCCAATCTTCTTGTTCCAGCGTAGGATCCACTCATATACTATAGCAAACTCTCCGTTGGTCGCATCGAAAGCATTATAAACATTACGGCCAAGTCTCTCACTCTCCCCTGCCAGAGACACAGACACATAGCATATTGAGGCACACAACTCAACACTGACAGTACAGTAAACTACAATGCAGAAACCATAATGAGAGATTTACAGAGAATTTTAAGCTCTTACCGAGGCACTTCCCTCTATGCACCATGAGGTCCCCAAGGGTACTGTTGCTGAAGTAAAGCACTTCCTGTGAGCGTGGGCTATCCTCGCTGTATGTGTCCCGTCTGGTTACAACAAAAACAACATGCAGTGTTAGCTATGGGTAGTTCAGGCACAGAGCTATATATTATTTACACATGTGGCTGGTCCGTGCCTGTGGCGGGTGTTGGAGTTGGTCAGTCTCCGGGGGTTGGCCCCTCTTCTGGGCTCAGTAAGCTCAGGTGGAGGCCCAGGGGAATAAGATGAGCTGCCCAATGCAGAACTGTCTACGGCAGGCTGGTCCATACTCTCAAGGCGCTCCTGGGCAGTCACAAAGCCAGATTATGGTGAAATCAAACAGTTATTTCAGGCTCTGTTTTGCATTTCAGGCTCTGTTTTGCATTAAAATGTTTCTTTTAAAAGGTGTATTTCAGGTCTAGTAGAACATGGCTTTCATATATTTGGTTTCAAATAATATATTAATTGATGATCAGTAGCCTAAAAACACACATAGTTAATCATTCCAAACAATTTTCCAGAGGTGTAATAAGAATTGCTTATCTACTAAAACAGCACGAGTTTGCAAAATGTACACATTTGAAGATTATGAAGGAACCTGTTTGGCCATTTCCTTTCTCCTCTTCTCCTCTCGTTTCTCCTCCTCTCTTCTTTTGATTTCAGCCATGATCTCAAATTGCTTTAGACAAGAATGAGTTGAGAGGTACAGTAAGGAGGACAGTAAGTGTTTGTTTGTGTGTGTGTGTGTGTGTTTGTTTGTTTGTTTGTGTGCGTGTATCAGCATGCATGCGTCCTCACCGTCTGCTCCTCCTGCCTGCGGCGTTGGTCCAGTTTCTCCTGCTCCTCCAGGGCTAGCCTCTCCTGATGCAGCCGCTGGTTCTTCAGCATCTCCTCATGGAAGGAGCTGGACGGAGGCTTGTTGTGTTCACTCAGGAAGCCCTGGACATGGTCGGCCAGCTCATAGATCATCACCTGGGAGAAGAGAGGGTAGATTATGGGAAGACAAATATTTTCTGTCACTGAGATGCGGCTATTGCAAAATGGCACAGGATTTCATGGGTCATCTACTCTTAACTACGAGTAGATATTATACTATTCAGATCTACATGTTTGGTTCAGAGTGGAGATGTCTGAATGTCTGTTGGCATCCGTCTGTCTGTCTGCCTGTATATGTCTTATCTCACCTCCCCACATCGCTCTGCAGCCAGTTTAGTGAGCTGTGTCTGGAGGCTCTGGAGGTTGTCATTGGAGAGACCTTTGGCATTCTTCAGCTCAAACTCTGGAGGTCTGTCGCCCAAGTAAACAACAAACAGGAATTATTGCTATGCATCTATAACATTTTGCTTAAAACTGATTAAATTATTAGGCGATTGTACCAAACCAAAAGACATGTTGACTGTACATTTGTGCCTAGCTCTCGAAAACCCAAGGGGTAACAAGGGGGCTTACAGCAGGTCCCCCTCTTGGGTTCTCATCTGAAGGTATGGACCACAGCTGGCTCCATGTGAACTATAATCCCGACGCTTTGTTTTAACGTTTAGAAACATTGTTAATCCTCACTTGTGATATGGTTTTGGAAACCTTTGGAACTTAACTTTTTATATAAGTGAGAAAATATATATAAATACAGAAGATACACTTACTGTACGCAGTTCAGCAAAGTTGCACCCGGCTTCGTTTTCACACGGTCTCGGCTACGACACATACTCCCACCTTGCGCTCCTATTGGACCATTCCATTTAACATTTCCATCTGGATCACGTTTTTCAAATTACAGCCGGGAGTAACTTTGCTAAACTGTGTACAGTAAGTGTATCATTTGTATTTGAAAAATAATGTCGCTCATATGAAAGTTAAATTCCAAATGTTTCCAAAACCGTATCGCGAGCGAGGCATATTTGCGTTTAGGCAGAGCATTTGGCCAGCGTCGGGCAGCATCAGAAGCTAGCGTCAGGGCATTTGCCTCAGGTGGCATATAGCTACAATTCCTTCAGAAAGTATTCATACCCCTTGAGTTATTCCAAATGTTGTTGTGTTACAGCCGGAATTCAAAATAGGTTAAATTGACTTTTTTCCTCACCCATCTACACACAATACCCCATAATGACAAAGTGAAAACATGTTCTTAAAAATTTGTGCAAATGTATTCAAAATGAAATACAGAAATATATCATTTTCATAAGTATTCACAACCCTGAGTCAATACATGTTAGAATCACCTTTGGCAGCGATTACAGCTGTGAGTCTTTCTGCACACCTGGATTGTACAATATTTGCACATCATTCTTTTTTTATATTTTTCAAGCTCTGTCAAGTTGATTGTTGATCATGGCTAGACAGCCATTTTCAAGTCTTGCCATAGATTTTCAAGCCGATTTAAGTCAAAACTTTAACTACTCAAGAACATTCAATGTCGTCTTGGCAAGCAACTCCAGCGTATATTTGGCCTTGGATTTTAGATGATTGTCCTGCTGAAAGGTGAATGTATCTCCCAGTGTCTGTTGGAAAGCTGATTGAACTAGGTTTTCCTGTGCTTAGCACTATTCCGTTTATTTTTATCCTAAAAAACTCCCTAGTCCTTGCCGATGACAAGCATACCCATAACATGATGCAGCCACCACCATGCTTGAAAATATGAAGAGTGGTACTCAGTGATGTGTTGTATTGGATTTGCCCTAAACATAACAATTTGTATTCAGGACATAAAGTTCACTTATTTGCCACAGTTTTTGCAGTTTTACTTTAGTGCCTTATTGCAAACAGGATGCATGTTTTGGAATATTTTCCGTATGTACCGTCAGTTAAGTTAGTATTGTGGAGTAACTACAATGTTGTTGATACATCTTCAGTTCTTCTATCACAGCCATTAAACTCTGTAACTGTTTTAAAGTCACCATTGGCCTCATGGTGAAATCCCTGAGCGATTTCCTTCCTCTCCAGCAACTGAGTTAGGAAGGACGCCTGTATCTTTGTAGTGACTGGGTGGATTGATTCACCATCCAAAGTGTAATTAATAACTTCACCATGCTCAAAGGGATATTCAATGTCCGCATTTTTTATTTTTTTGTACCAATCTAACAATAGGTGACCTTTGTGAGGCACTGGAATTACCAGACGGATTACCAGGACGTGTACTCCGAGCATGTGCTGACCAACTGGCAAGTGTCTTCACTGACATTTTCAACATGTCCCCTGACTGAGTCTGTAATACCAACATGTTTCAAACAGACCACCATAGTCCCCGTGCCCAAGGACTCTAAGATAACCTGCCTAAATGACTACCGACCCGTAGCACTGACGTCTGTAGCCATGAAGTGCTTTGAAAGGCTGGTCATGGCTCACATCAACACCATTATCCCAGAAACCCTAGACCCACTCCAATTTGCATACCGCCCCAACAGATCCACAGATGATGCTATCTCTATTGCACTCCACACTGCCCTTTCCCACCTGGACAAGAGGAACACCTACGTGAGAATGCTATTCACTGACTACAGCTCAGCATTCAACACCATAGTGCCCTCAAAGCTCATCACTAAGCTAAGGATCCTGGGACTAAACACCTCCCTCTGCAACTGGATCCTGGACTTCCTGACGGGCCGCCCCCCAGGTGGTAAGGGTAGGTAACAACACATCTGCCACACTGATCCTCAACACGGGGCCCTCAGGGGTGCGTGCTCAGTCCCCTCCTGTACTTCCTGTTCACCCATGACTGCATGGCCAGGCACGACTCCAACACCATCATTAAGTTTGCCGACGACACAACAGTGGTAGGCCTGATCACCAACAACGATGAGACAGCCTATAGGGAGGAGGTCAGAGACCTGGCCATGTGGTGCCAGGATAACAACCTCTCCCTCAACGTGACCAAGACAAAGGAGATGATTGTGGACTACAGGAAAAAAAAAAAAAGAGGACTGAGCACGCCCCCATTCTCATCGACGGGGCTGTAGTGGAACAGGTTGAGAGCTTCAAGTTCCTTGGTGTCCACATCACCAACGAACTATTATGGTCCAAACACACCAAGACAGTCGTGAAGAGGGCACGACAAAGCCTATTCCCCCTCAGGAGACTGAAAAGATTTGGCATGGGTCCTCAGATCCTCAAAAAATTCTACAGCTGCTGCACCATCGAGAGCATCCTGAATGGTTGCATCACCGCCTGGTATGGCAACTGCTTGGCCTCCGACCGTAAGGCACTACAGAGGGTAGTGCGTACGGCCCAGTACATCACTGGGGCCAAGCTTCCTGCCATCCAGGACCTCTATACCAGGCGGTGTCAGAGGAAGGCCCTCAAAATTGTCAAAGACTCCAGCCACCCTAGTCATAGACTGTTCTCTCTGCTACCGCACGGCAAGCGGTACCGGAGTGCCAAGTCTAGGTCCAAAATACTTCTCAACAGCTTCTACCCCCAAGCCATAAGACTCCTAAACAGCTAATCATGGCTACCCGGGCTATTTGCACTGCCCCCCCCACCCCATCATTTTACGCTGCTGCTACTCTGTTAATTATTTATGCATAGTCACTAACTCTGCCCACATGTACATATTACTTCAACTACCTCAACTAGCCGGTGCCCCCGCACATTGACTCTGCACCGGTACCCCCTGTATATATAGCCTCCCTACTGTTATTTTATTTTACTTCTGCACTGTTGGTTAAGGGCTGTAAGTAAGCATTTCACTGTAATGTCTGCACCTGTTGTATTCGGCGCATGTGGCCAATAAAATTTGATTTGATTTGAAAACCTCCCTGGTCTTTGTGGTTAAATCTGTGTTTGAAATTCACTGCTCCTCTGAGGGACTTTACCGATAATTGTATGTGTGGGGTAGAGATGAGGTAGTCATTCAAAAGTCATGTTAAACACTATTATTTAACACAGTCTCAATTTAATCAATTTTAAATTCAGGTTGTAACAACAAAATGTGGAAAAGGTCAAGGGGTGGAATGACCCAATGTAATGTAATTGGAGTCATGATAAGGGCCATACAGTCTTCCTAGTGTCAGAGGTTTATTCTAGGCAGGCAATATTATGCAACATTATAAACATCTGAATCTAGGGCAAGGAACACTGATATATCCATCCCATTGATGGATTGAGTAATGATACTCACACATCAGGGTACGTAGGTGGGCATTGGACCTGCAGATCCACTGTCACATAACTTTCCTTCCCATTGCTTAGCCCATTTGGTCGCAGACACAGGTATACCTCTGGTGGCACTTTAATCTGGATGAGGATAAAACAACAGAGAGGATATTGGAAACCTAGCCACAAATAGACATGCATGGCGTTGGTGTAATTAGCACAACTTTGCATCAGCAATAGTGATGGGCATTCCGAGTATTTTCGGTAAGTCGCCTCATTTGGCTCTGTTCACGTAAAAGAGCCGGCTCATTTGGCTCCAAAACAGCTATTCGTTCAAAATGCTTAAAAATGCTTTAAAAAATTGCAAATCTCCAATGTAAAGCGCAAAAGGTAGGCTACCATTATGTCAGATCGTGAAATGCTCCTTCAAATAATTTTTTACCTGAACAAATTCTTCAATTTCTTCTACTACGCTCTCCCCACTATTTATTGTTCCTGCAGTGAGGATTCACCCTCTTTCGACAATTATTTTGTAACTTATCAGCAGGAAAATGTTGTTTTGAACTCAAAAAGCAGTGGTAACAGTATGCAGCCAAATGAACGGCTCTTTTACCGATGCGATTCGGCTCCGTTCCCCAAAAAGAGCCGTTCAAAAAGAGCCGTTCGTTCGCAGCAATCAGGAACTCATTTTGGCAAAAAGTTGCTACTATCTATTCATACGTCAATTGTGTTGAAAGTAGGCCAACCTTCCATGGATGCTTATTCCGCAGATCCTGAAAATCTTCTCCAAAAATGGATGCAAGCGCTTCTAGTTCGTTTTCCTGTTGAACTGAATAGTCGTCTGTCCAGGTAGAAGTCTGATGACAACTCATCCTAGCCGCGCTACATGAGCACTCATGTCTCGCGCACACACCCCTCTCTAAATATCGAGGCGATTTAACTACAACGTAACACTCGTCTTTTGTTACTTCGAAACACTACAATATCAACATTGAATAAATTTACGCGACTGATAATGTATCTGGTTCCAAAACGTTGAACTTCCAGCATTGACTGCACCACGTATTCACAACATTGTTGCAATGCTGTCGCCAGAGACGTAAGAGGAAGTGATACATCCCACTCACCAATGTTTTCTAGTTCATATCCTGTCAATGAACTTAGCATTGGTGCCTATGAGAGAACCACCCCATTAAGCAGACCGGAACTTAATGGTAAGCGACCTTCTTCTTCCTCTTTGGTATCATGGCGCTCCGCAAACAAATGTTCTAGCTGCATGCCGCCACCTACTGTATTGGCTGTGTATCAGCCTACTATTCTGTGGTATGAATTCATTTCACTTTCTGAAAAAATTGCCCTACCAACTAACCTACACCAATTTAAATCTCATCACCGGTAAACGGCTTTCTTCTTCTTCTTCTTCAAGGTTTTATTGGTGGACTAGATCCAAAAAGGTGTATTGCCGCCAGCTATTGGGTGGGGTAAAAACGGACATACTTTAACTAATATATATTTTTAAATATATATATACAGTACCAGTCAAAAGTTTGGACACACCTACTCATTCCAGGGTTTTTCTTTATTTTTACTATTTTCTACATTGTAGAATAATAGTGAAGACATCAAAACTATGAAATAACACATATGGAATCATGTAGTAACCAGACAAGTGTTAAACAAATCAAAATATATTTTATGTTTGAGATTCTTCAAAGCAGCCACCCTTTGCTTGACGACAGCTTTGCACACTCTTGGCAATAAAAAACAAATATTTGGAATAAATTATTTTAGAATAGATATTCAATGGTATAGGCTATTGGTGTAAAATGCTCTGGGTGTGATGAGAGAGTTCAAAGAGAGGCCTGTACTCAGAACAAGCTGTGTGACATTGAGTTGTGTGAGATTCTAAAAATGATCTCTCCAATAACATCAGTGATCAATGCTGGTTTGGTCATTGGCTGGCAGAATAACATAATTGGACTGCAATGGAATCCTAAACCATAGCATCCAGCACCTATCTATCTGTGGAGAAATAGCGAGAAAGTAACACCTATAAATAGGCAGGCCTAACATCCAGTGGGACAGCCTAGAGGAGAAAAATGCTCTCATATAATCCAGCCATGGATATAATCTAACAGACTCCAAAGATAACCATCCGCCAGTGTCCCCCTGTCTGACCCGCCTAAAGGGTGTTGGAGGGGGTGGGACGAATAAGGATCTCAGTTTGCTAACTCAACACGACGGGACCCAACTGGATTGACACCTGTTACACGCCATGACCATAAAAGGAGAGAGCTGAACCAATCAGGGCTCAGCACGGCAGACACAGGCCAGTCAGACAGCCAGCTCGGAGGAAGGACAGGACTGTCATTACCCTCAGCTGTTCACCATGTTTAGGGGCTCAGCCCACATACCAGCAGCAGCCTGGTCCACTGACATATACAGTGTTCTACTGACTGGTGGACCAAAGCCTCTCTCATTTGTCTCCTTAAGAAGGCCCACAAATCTGTTTTTGCCACCCTGCATTCAAGGAAGGCCCTCATATTGCTATGGTATAAGTGTCTCATACCTGTCAATGGATTTTATATCATGTGTCTCCTCCCTCAGACACCCATTGACTACTCCACCCACATCAAATGTGTATCAATGAAAACACTGTGACACATCTGCTCAGTGTTTTTAGAGATAATTGTATTAAGTACAATTTCAGTAAATGTCAGAATCCCTTTTCAGTTTTCTCACAAACTCTGGCTTTTAAAACAATAACACCATCAATCTACATTTACAATGACTAATGCACCTTTTTGTGTAATCTCAAAAATAATGATTGATCAGAACCTTTATTTTAATAATGTCTTATCAACAGTTTTCAGAATTCTTTAAAATGTCAAATTGAATTTCAAAATGAACTGGCTATAATTGAACTATCTTTAGCTTTGTGTAAAAAAAACTAACATTTAAAAATAAAAGCTAAACCTACAGTGTACAAAACATTAAGAAAACCTGCTCTTTCCATGACTTAGACTGACCAGGTGAATCAAATCGAATCGAATCAAATCAAATTGTATTTACCACATGCGCCGAATACAACAGGTGTAGACCTTACAGTGAAATGCTTACTTACAAGCCCTTAACCAACAATGCAGTGTTAAGAAAAATGAGTGTGAAGTAGAAAATAGATAAGTAAAAAATTAAAAATAATTAAAGAGCAGCAGTAAAATAACAGTAGCGAGGCTATATACAGGGGGTACCGGTACAGAGTCAATGTGCGGGGGCACTGGTTAGTCGAGGTAATTGAGGTAATATGTACATGTAGAGTTAAAGTGAAAGCTATGATCCCTTAATGATGTCACTTGTTAAATCCACTTCAATCAGTGTAGATGAAAGGGAGGAGACAGGTTAAAGAAGGATTTTTAAGCCTTGAGACAATTGAGACATGGATTGTGTATGTGTGCCATTCAGAGGTTGAATGGGAAATACAAAAGATGTAATTGCCTTTGAACGGGGTATGGTAGTAGGTGCCAGGCGCACCGGTTTGAGTGTGTCAAGAACTGCAACGCTGCTGGGTTTTTCAAACTCAACAGTTTCCCGTGTGTATCAAGAATGGTCCACCACCCAAAGGACATCCAGCCAACTTGACACAACTGTGGGAAGCATCGGAGTCAACATGGGCCAGCATCCCTGTGGAACGCTTTTGACACCTTGTAGAGTCCATGCCCCAACAAATTGAGGCTGTTCTGTGTGGGCAAAAGGGGGTGCAACTCAATATTAGGAAGGTGTTTCTAATGTTTTGTACACTCAGTGTATATGAAGTATTTTAATGAAGAAGACAATTTAAACGGACCTAACAACATGGCCTGACATTAAGAATACCATTATAACATCCAGACATCTTTAAAAAACAAAACAACATTCCCTTTTCACTTCTCTCATCTTATTTCTAAAGCAGATCAGTCTGGCATGTCTCAGGAAGCATCTCACCATTTTTGAGGAGTCCCATCCCAACCGGTCACATACATTTACTTCTAATGTTGTTTTCTTTTTTCTAGATGCTCTTATTTGGACTTGTGTGAACTCCAGGCTCCGCCCCTGATCCCCAGACCCCGCTCTTATTTAAGGGGTCCTCTCACCCTCGCCCTTTGTCCCAGTGGAAGCATCAGTCTTGCAATACAACTTGGTGAGTGCATATTACTTGCATATTATTACTATTTATTTCTATGGAAAACATCAGACTTTGTCGGGACTGGGAGTCCACATTTTAGTTATTTGAGTACATCTTGACCTGGCACTGGTCTCTGACATTGGATGTAGTTTTTTACCTGGATGAATTCTTTGTAGCTTTATTGAGGCATGAACTAGAAGTACACTTTAAACTGAAGTCACTGCTTATTGGAATGGATTGATGGTATCGCTCCAAAATAATAAGCAACACTCAGCTATTCAGAGATTTGTGAATGATAAATTACTTATCATCAGGTGATTGTGAGGAGGGTGCAGGTAATTATTGTGTAATAACTTAGTAAACAGTTACTGGTACACTGATCAATGCTGGTTTGGTCAGGTACATTGAGACAGATCTAAAAGTGTCTAATAAATGAAGCCATTATAGGGAGATGGGGTAAAGAGCCATGCTGTAAACAGAGGTGTTACAATGTGCCGACAGCTGCTCTCTGGGTTGGCTCCAACTCTCCCATGCCTGAAATAGCTCCAGATAGAGGTCCATGGAGGTCAATGTGGCACAATGTGTAAGCTGTGTTTGGAGCAGACAGGGTGTGGAGCTTAAAATAGATAGCTTGTCTTGCCTGCTGTTGCCAATGATATGGCCCTTTTTGGAGCTACCTCTGCGGCCCTAAAATGGCCTAGGAACCATCATGACAGCTGAGCTACAGTATCGGCAGAGGCGCAACTTTCACTGGGGACATGTCCACCCCACATTCTGAAATTGCATTTTTGTCCCCCGCAGTTTTATCATTGGAATGTGATACAAAACAAGGCAACGGTGTGATTTAGGACCATGCAGAAGCATCTGAGCGGTTGGGTTGGCTGTTTGGAGTGTTTATCTGACAAGAAAATGTAATTACAATAATTATTATTATTATGTCCCCCCTACTTCTAAAACCAAAGTTGCGTCCCTGAGTATCGGTAACTTCACAACAAGCTTGGATTAAAAAATAAATAAAAGCATACATTAGTTAGGATTCTATAGATAGCTGCTATTTTAAATACAAGGAATTGATAACATTTTCAAAATACGTTTTAGTCATTTAGCAGACGCTCTGAGCGACTTACAGGAGCAATTAGGGTTAAGTGCCTTGCTCAAGGGCACATCGGCATATTTTTCACCTAGTCAGATCAGGGATTTGAACCAGCAACCTTTCAGTTACTGGCCCAATGCTCTTAACCGCTAGGCTACCTGCCACCAAAATAGTTATAAGACAAGTTGTAAAAATGGTACTACAGTAGTAAAAAAATACAACTATATTAACCATTGTATGAAATAGAGAGCAGTATATTAACTTCCAAAAGACACACAAATGCAGGATATTGAAAAACCTGGATTCGCATGCAGACATTTTCCATAAATTGTCTGTGGTTGTGAACAAAAACCAATTAGGAAAGGCCTGCTTGAAATGCAATCAATGGTTGGGGGGGTTACAGCTGTTCCCACCACTCATTCTCAACCTTGTGTCTCTATGTCACCCACAGACCATACCAGTAAAGCCTAACCATGTGTGACGACGACGAGACTACCGCCCTTGTGTGCGACAATGGCTCTGGCTTGGTCAAGGCTGGATTTGCCGGAGATGACGCTCCCCGTGCTGTCTTCCCTTCCATTGTGGGAAGGCCCCGCCACCAGGTATTGTACTTAAGAAAAACTACCATGATGTAACTGGGGCTGGTATAGATTGTGTCATTGTACAGACACAGATTTTTAGGGGAGGGGTATCAAACTGTGTCAAAAAGAGTGCAATATGCTGCTGTGCCATCTGTCATGTAGGCTTTGATGATGATGTAATTCCTAACTTCTCTTCTCCAGGGTGTGATGGTGGGTATGGGTCAGAAGGACAGCTACGTAGGTGATGAGGCTCAGAGCAAGAGGGGTATCTTGACTCTGAAGTACCCTATCGAGCATGGCATCATCACTAACTGGGACGATATGGAGAAGGTGGGTCGTAGATTACAACATCTTGCACTGAAGGAAGAGTTTTGGTATTGATTTTGGCACAAGACTATAAGTAAATGTGTGCAGCATAACAACATAATAAACAGAGAACTTCAACTCTCTCATATTTTTGCAGATCTGGCACCACACCTTCTACAATGAGCTGCGTGTGGCCCCTGAGGAGCACCCCACCCTGTTGACAGAGGCTCCCCTGAACCCCAAGGCCAACAGAGAGAAGATGACCCAGGTAATTTTAACTGCATTATTCCCCCACTTCAAATCCATGTTTTCTGTTAGAGGCAATGCTATGGATAACCGTCAAGCAAACTTCTGAAATGTCTCTCTTATTCTTATGTTATAGATCATGTTTGAGACCTTCAACGTTCCCGCTATGTATGTGGCCATCCAGGCTGTCCTGTCCTTGTACGCCTCCGGTCGTACCACAGGTCAGTATTCCAGGACACTGCCTCTTATATGTACCATTGTCAACCATGGATAGTTGATATATTACTGATACAATATGTAGTTTGCTGCCACACATTAGTGGTCAATATGACAATAGGAGACAACTCAAATGAAGTTGATGCACGTGTTACAATATGTTGAATAAGTGTGCTGTTTAGTTGTCAGAGACAGCTAGATGAATTGTGCCCTGGTTGTCGAGGACGTGTTAATCCCTGTCTGGCAGGGTATGTGGCACACCTGCCATTGATGTCAGCGGCATTGTTAGTTTATGATGTGACAAATGCTTGTAGTGATTCCCATATGGCAGCCGGCCATTCCTCTGTCTGTCATGTCTGTCTGACTAATGTGCCTTGTCTGCCCCCTATAGGTATTGTGCTGGACTCTGGTGATGGTGTGACCCACAATGTCCCCATCTATGAGGGTTATGCTCTTCCCCATGCCATCATGCGTCTGGATCTGGCTGGTCGCGATCTGACTGACTACCTGATGAAGATCCTGACAGAGCGTGGCTACTCTTTCGTGACCACAGGTAAGGATGTGTAGGAGAGCTAACTGTCAATGAGGTTATGCCTCATTTTTAAGATTATTGTAATTTCTGTATGTTTACGGCAATCTCTTGCTGTGCAGTTGTGTGAAAGTTCTTCCTCTCATCATTGAAACTTGCCCCCCTTAGCTGAGCGTGAGATTGTGCGTGACATCAAGGAGAAGCTGTGCTATGTCGCCCTGGACTTCGAGAATGAGATGGCCACTGCTGCCTCCTCCTCCTCCCTGGAGAAGAGCTACGAGCTTCCCGACGGTCAGGTCATTACCATTGGTAATGAGCGTTTCCGTTGCCCAGAGACCCTCTTCCAGCCTTCCTTCATTGGTGAGGCATGCTTATGCATTATACATTATGGTTGCGATACAATATGTTATTACAACAACAACAAAATGGTGTGTTCTGTGTCAATTAATGGACTGTAATATCTTCTACCAGGTATGGAGTCCGCTGGTATCCATGAGACCGCCTACAACAGCATCATGAAGTGTGACATTGACATCCGTAAGGACCTGTACGCCAACAATGTGCTGTCAGGTGGTACCACCATGTACCCTGGTATTGCTGACCGTATGCAGAAGGAGATCACAGCCCTGGCCCCCAGCACAATGAAGATCAAGGTGAGGGACAATCCCACCATATTAACCTTCTGGATGTCAACCATCAAGTTAATTTAAATGTTCAGGTATGCATATGCAGTGGGTCTACGTGAAACTAAGCAATTCTCTGTACTCTGTTCATCTTCTAGATCATTGCTCCCCCTGAGCGTAAGTACTCTGTCTGGATCGGTGGCTCCATCCTGGCTTCCCTATCCACCTTCCAGGCCATGTGGATCAGCAAGCAGGAGTATGATGAGGCAGGCCCCTCCATTGTTCACAGGAAGTGCTTCTAAACAATCAACCCCTTCACCCATACATTTGTAATGCGTCATTTACTGTATATACATGTTGTAATAAAAGTAGATCCTTGTAACAGCAGATTTGTTTTGACTCTTTTCTGCATTGTAGGGCGGCAGGTAGCCTAGCGGTTAAGAGTGTTTGGCCAGTAATCGAAAGGTTGCTGGTTGAAATCCCCAAGCCGACTAGGTGAAAAATCTGCCGATGTGCCCTTGAGCAAGGCACTTAACCCTCATTGCTCCTGTAAATCACTCTTGATAAGAGAGTCTGCTAAAATGTAAATGTAAAAATTATATAGACCTATTAAAATGCCATACACCAACTTGTAGATATATCTATCTATATTTTATTCAAATGTACAAGCGCATAGAAATATTTAATTTAAAACGTGAATATAAAATTTTTACAGTATTGTTGGTATTCATATTTTCCTAGCCATTAGATCATACTAGATATGATTCCACATATTCTGGCCCAGTTTCTAAACTTTACAGTAGCCTGTCTTGAGTCTAGCAATCAAGCTGTTGGCTGTTTTTTTATTGCATAATTTGGAAAATCTACATATTTGACAATTTAGGGATATTTCAATGATAATCCCACCATAGAATTACATATATTTCCACTTACATCAATGCGCAGTCTGAGACTGGTACAGTAGCTGCTCAACAGGCACTTATAAAGGCATCTGCATTTCCTTTGTGTGGGGCTTGATATTTGAACCCATTCTAGCCAATCAGAGCGCACCATGTAGAAGCGCTGCCGTTTGAAAGATAAGAAGAAAAAAATTCAGGGAAGCGTAGTCTGCTAGCAATGTAGCTAGCTAGGGCAATTACGATTAGATAAAAACAAGAGAATAGCCACATGTATTGAAGTAAATACAAGAATATAGATTTTGGCATACTGTACTATAAATGAGCAAGTATAGCTATGAGAATTGTTATTGAGCTAGCTAACTAGCTACACTACAGCAGGCTAGCTAACTGTTAACAGTAGCGAACGTCGGCTAGCCGTCACGAGAATTATAGCGATTCTGCTGGGTCTGGATAGTTGGCACAGCGGTTGTTTTTATTTGATGGTCGACCTAGCTAGTTGCAGGTTAAATGTAGAAGGATTTGGTTTGTTAAATTAACGTTAGATGGATTATTTTGAATGAGAAGAAGAACGTACCCGAAGAGTTGTTTTGATTAAAAGGAAGGGAAGTGCGGACGTGGGATAGTTAGCTAGCTGTTATACTAACGTTAGATTGAAGAAGGATACGCATAGATGATCTGCTAGGTAAATTGGTAGCTGTGTTGAACATTTGAAGAAGGCACAGTGAAAGTCATTGTTAAAGTGAAAGATGAAGATCATTGAAAGAAATGTGATGCGTCTGGCTGTTGTGCAACACCTTCGTGCTGCTTATGGGATAAAGACGAAGAATTGGAACAAAAACAAAGCACACACCAGCTGCAAGTTGACAGTTAACCATTCGGTAAGTCTGTTTTGTTTAGATTGCAAGCTAGATACACACGAGAAACGTGCATAATTTTAGACAGAAGTGTCAAACTTTGGTTGTAAAACTGCCTGGATTAGTCAGCTGGCTAAATTACTTGTTTGTGAACCATCCTGCCTGACTAATTTCCATCGGTCGGTGCACTTTCACCTAGCCCTTGGCTTGATCATGACTCAGTTCCATTACATGACACAAGTCATTGGACGAAGGCGTCTTCTGTAGTTTTTTTTTGTTAAGATCACGGAAGCTCAGTCTGAACATTAACATGCATCGCTTGCGGTACGGTTTTGGAAGAATAAGGACCTTATCTTTCATATCAGCGAGAAATAATAAAAAACAAACACGTTTAAATTGATACACACCTTGTTAGTGTTCCCACACAGCCATATATCCATGTTACATTGCATGTTAATGGAAGACAAGAGGCAACCACCTGTGATAATTAACGTTAGCTACAGTTGAAGTCGAAAGTTTACATACGCTTAGGTTGGAGTCTTTAAAACTCGTTTTTCAACCACTCCACAAATGTCTTGTTAACAAACTATAGTATTTCACTTTCAATTCACTGTATCACAATTCCAGTGGGTCAGAAGTTTACATACACTAAGTTGACTGTGCCTTTTAAACCGCTTGGAAAATTCCAGAACATGATGTCATGGCTTTCGAAGCTTCTGATAGGCTAATTGACATAATTTGAGTCAATTGGAGGTGTACCTGTGGATGTATTTCAAGGCCTACCTTCAAACTCAGTGCCTCTTTGCTTGACATCTTGGGAAAATCAAAAGAAATCAGCCAAGACCTCAGAAAAAATATTGTAGACCTCCACAAGTCTGGTTCATCCTTGGGAGCAATTTCCAAACGCCTGAAGGTACCACGTTCATCTGTACAAACAATAGTACGCAAGTATAAACACCATGGCACCACGCAGCCGTCATACCGCTCAGGAAGGAGACGCGTTCTGTATCCTAGAGATTAACGTAGTTTGGTGCGAAAAGTGCAAATCTATCCCAGAACAACAGCAAAGGATCTTGTGAAGATGCTGGAGGAAACCGGTACAAAGTATCTATATCCACAGTAAAACGAGTCCTATATCGACATAACCTGAAAGGCCGCTCAGCAAGGAAGAAGCCACTGCTCCAAAACCGCCATAAAAAAGCCAGACTACGGTTTGCATCTGCACATGGGGACAAATATTGTACTTTTTGAATAGAATAGAACTGTTTGGCCATAGGAAAAAGGGGGGAGCTTGCAAGCCGAAGAACACCATCCCAACCGTGAAGCACGGGGGTGGCAGCATCATGCTGTGGGGGTGCTTTGCTGCAGGAGGGACTGGTGCACTTCACAAAATAGATGGCATCATGAGGAAGGAAAATTATGTGGATATATTGAAGCAACATCTCAAGACATCAGTCAGGAAGTTAAAGCTTGGTCGCAAATGGGTCTTCCAAATGGACAATGACCCCAAGCATACTTCCAAAGTTGTGGCAAAATGGCTTAAAGACAACAAAGTCAAGGTATTGGAGTGGCCATCACAAAGCCCTGACCTCAATCCTATAGAAAATGTGTGGGCAGAACTGAAAAGGCGTGTTCGAGCAAGGAGGCCTACAAACCTGACTCAGTTACACCAGCTCTGTCAGGAGGAATGGGCCAAAATTCACCCAACTTATTGTGGGAAGCTTGTGGAAGGCTACCCGAAACATTTAAAGTTAAACAATTTAAAGGCAATGCTACCAAATACTAATTGAGTGTATGTAAACTTCTGACCCACTGGGAATGCGATGGAAGAAATAAAATCTGAAATAAATCATTCTCTCTACTATTATTCTGACATTTCACATTCTTAAACTAAAGTGGTGATGCTAACTGACCTAAGACAGGGAATTTTTACTAGGATTAAATGTCAGGAATTGTGAAAAACTGAGTTTAAATGTATTTGGCTAAGGTGTATGTAAACTTCAGACTTCAACTGTATCTAGCATCCTCTGAACACCTGTGTGTAAGCGTACAGTAACTCGGGAAGTGAAGCAGAAGTGTAGTTTTGTTGGATGGAGGCACCCATAGAGGTATGTACAGTATCTCACAAAAGTGAGTACACCCCTCACATTTTTGTAAATATTTGAGTATATCTTTTCATGTGACAACACTGAAGAAATGACACTTTGCTACAATGTAAAGTAGTGAGTGTACAGCTTGTATAACAGTGTACATTTGCTGTCCCCTCAAAATAACTTAACACACAGCCATTCATGTCTAAACCACTGGCAACAAAAGTGAGTACACCCCTAAGTAAAAATGTCCAAATTGGGCCCAATTAGCCATTCCCCCCCCCCCCCCCCCCCCCCCCCCCCCCGGTGTCATGTGACTTGTTAGTGTTACAAGGTCTCAGGTGTGAATGGGGAGCAGGTGTGTTAAATTTGGTGGCATCGCTCTCACACTCCCTCATACTGGTCACTGGAAGTTCAACATGGCACCTCATGGAAAAGAACTCTCTGAGGATCTGAAAAAAAGAATTGTTGTTCTACATAAAGATGGCCTGGGCTATAAGAAGATTGCCAAGACCCTGAAACTGAGCTGCAGCACGTTGGCCAAGACCATACAGCGGTTTAACAGCACAGGTTCCACTCAGAACAGGCCTCACCATGGTCGACCGAAGAAGTTGAGTGCACGTGCTCAGCGTCATATCCAGAGGTTGTCTTTGGGAAATAGACGTATGAGTGCTGCCAGCATTGCTGCAGAGGTTGGAGGGGTGGGGGGTCAGCCTGTCAGTGCTCAGACCATACGCCGCACACTGCATCAAATTGGTCAGCATGGCTGTCATCCCAGAAGGAAGCCTTTTCTAAAGATGATGCACAAGAAAGCCCGCAAACAGTTTGCTGAAGACAAGCAGACTAAGGACATGGATAACTGGAACCATGTCCTGTGGTCTGATGAGACCAAGAAACGTATTTGGTTCAGATGGTGTCAAGCGTGTGTGGCGGCAACCAGGTGAGGAGTACAAAGACAAGTGTGTCTTGCCTACAGTCAAGCATGGTGGTGGGAGTGTCATGGTCTGGGGCTGCATGAGTGCTGCCGGCACTGGGGAGCTACAGTTCATTGAGGGAACCATGAATGCCAACATGTACTGTGACATACTGAAGCAGAGCATGATCCCCTTCCTTCGGAGACTGGGCCGCAGGGCAGTATTCCAACATGATAACGACCCCAAACACACCTCCAAGACGACCACTGCCTTGCTAAATAAGCTGAGGGTAAAGGTGATGGACTGGCCAAGCATGTCTCCAGACCTAAACCCTATTGAGCATCTGTGGGGCATCCTCAAACGGAAGGTGGAGGAGTGCAAGGTCTCTAACATCCACCAGCTCCGTGATGTCGTCATGGAGGAGTGGAAGAGGACTCCAGTGGCAACCTGTGAAGCTCTGGTGAACCCCATGCCCAAGAGGGTTAAGGCAATGCTGGAAAATGATGGTGGCCACACAAAATATTGACACTTTGGGCCCAATTTGGACATTTTCACTTAGGGGTGTACTCACTTTTGTTGCCAGCGGTTTAGACATTAATGGCTGTGTGTTATGTTATTTTGAGGGGACAGCAAATTTACACTGTTATACAAGCTGTACACTCACTACTTTACATTGTAGCAAAGTGTCATTTCAAATCAAATCAAATTTTATTGGCCACATGCGCCGAATACAACAGGTGCAGACATTACAGTGAAATGCTTACTTACAGCCCTTAACCAACAGTGCATTTATTTTTAATAAAAAAGTAGAATAAAACAGCAAAAAAGTGTTGAGAAAAAAAGAGCAGAAGTAAAATATAATAACAGTAGGGAGGCTATATATACAGGGGGGTACCGGTGCGGGGGCACCGGCTAGTTGAAGTAATATGTACATGTGGGTAGAGCTAACGTGACTATGCATAAATAATTAAGAGTAGCAGCAGCGTAAAAAGATGGGGTGGGGGGGCAGTGCAAATAGTCCGGGTAGCCATGATTAGCTGTTCAGGAGTCTTATGGCTTGGGGGTAGAAGCTGTTGAGAAGTCTTTTGGACCTAGACTTGGCACTCCGGTACCGCTTGCCGTGCGGTAGCAGAGAGAACAGTCTATGACTAGGGGGGCTGTAGTTACTGACAATTTTGAGGGCCTTCCTCTGACACTGCCTGGTATAGAGGTCCTGGATGGCAGGAAGCTTGGCCCCAGTGATGTACTGGGCCGTACACACTACCCTCTGTAGTGCCTTGCGGTCGGAGGCCAAGGAGTTGCCATACCAGGCGGTGATGCATCCAGTAAGGATGCTCTCGATGGTGCAGCTGTATAATTTTTTTGAGGATCTGAGGACCCATGCCAAATCTTTTCAGTCTCCTGAGGGGGAATAGGCTTTGTCGTGCCCTCTTCACGACTGTCTTGGTGTGTTTGGACCATGATAGTTCGTTGGTGATGTGGACACCAAGGAACTTGAAGCTCTCAACCTGTTCCACTACAGCCCCGTCGATGAGAATGGGGGCGTGCTCAGTCCTCTTTTTTTTTTCCTGTAGTCCACAATCATCTCCATTGTCTTGGTCACGTTGAGGGAGAGGTTGTTATCCTGGCACCACATGGCCAGGTCTCTGACCTCCTCCCTATAGGCTGTCTCATCGTTGTCGGTGATCAGGCCTACCACTGTTGTGTCGTCGGAAAACGTAATGATGGTGTTGGAGTCGTGCCTGGCCATGCAGTCATGGGTGAACAGGGAGTACAGGAGGGGACTGAGCACGCACCCCTGAGGGGCCCCCGTGTTGAGGATCAGTGTGGCAGATGTGTTGTTACCTACCCTTACCACCTGGGGGCGGCCCGTCAGGAAGTCCAGGATCCAGTTGCAGAGGGAGGTGTTTGGTCCCAGGATCCTTAGCTTAGTGATGAGCTTTGAGGGCACTATGGTGTTGAATGCTGAGCTGTAGTCAATGAATAGCATTCTCACGTAGGTGTTCCTCTTGTCCAGGTGGGAAATGGCAGTGTGGAGTGCAATAGAGATTGCATCATCTGTGGATCTGTTGGGGCGGTATGCAAATTGGAGTGGGTCTAGGGTTTCTGGGATAATGGTGTTGATGTGAGCCATGACCAGCCTTTCAAAGCACTTCATGGCTACAGACGTCAGTGCTACGGGTCGGTAGTCATTTAGGCAGGTTATCTTAGAGTCCTTGGGCACGGGGACTATGGTGGTCTGTTTGAAACATGTTGGTATTACAGACTCAGTCAGGGACATGTTGAAAATGTCAGTGAAGACACTTGCCAGTTGGTCAGCACATGCTCGGAGTACACGTCCTGGTAATCCGTCTGGCCCTGCAGCCTTGTGAATGTTGACCTGCTTAAAAGTCTTACTCACATCGGCTACGGAGAGCGTGATCACATAGTCATCCGTAACAGCTGGTGCTCTCATGCATGCTTCAGTGTTGCTTGCCTCAAAGCGAGCAAAGAAGTGGTTGAGCTCGTCTGGAAGTCTTGTGACACTGGGCAGCTCGCGGCTGTGCTTCCCTTTGTAGTCTGTAATAGTTTAAGCCCTGCCACATCCGACGAGCGTCAGAGCCGGTCTTCAGTGTTGTCACATGGAAAGATATACTCAAATATCTACAAAAATGTGAGGGGTGTTCTTACTTTTGTCAGATACTGTATCTGTGCAAAACTGCTACAGTATCTTATTTATTTAAAAATTATTCCACGCTGATGAAAGATAAGGGCCATATGTTTCGAAAGCCATATTGCTATCGATGATTATTGACTCTAAAAGTTCAAACACAGCTTCCGGATTGTAGTTCATGTGAGGCAGTAGTGGGCGAAGCTAATGGCTGAGAACTGTACGGAGAAGGCAGAATGCTGCCTAGAATATTCAAGAGCTAACTTTTACCCAGCCCCATTTGTTAAGCCTGTCATTGTAATTGACTTTCATTGTTGGATTAATGTTAGTCTGTCTGCTAGCCCAAGATGTACTCTTAAGGAGCGTAATGTTACTATTAATCCTTAAGGTCCAAGGACCTTATGTTATTTTCAGAGGTAGACTGACTCTGGCAGCCAAATACTCAATATAAACGTGAATCGATTCTCAATTGCGATCGGGTTCTAGAAACATAAAGCCCTTTACTTTCATATCATGGCCGCGTTGGAACACTAACCCTATACATGTATCAATTTAATGGTTTGGGAAATGATTTCTCGCTGATATGGAAGATCCTTATGCTCCCAAAACCGTACCGCAATGCAATGCGTGTTAATGTTCATACCGAGCATCGAGGCTCTTAACAAAAGGACCCCGTACAGAAGATGCCTTCGTCCAATGACTCTTATGTGTAATGTAATGGAACTGCATGTCATGATCAAGGTCTAGTCTGTCAACCAGAAGTGAGTTGGAGGTTCACTCCCCAACAAGTAATGTTTTTAAGGGGTGGGCTAGCCATACTAGCTAGCTATCTATGATGAATGTATGTTGCTAGCTAAGTGAATTGTTCCTTGTTGTAAATGATTCAAATACATGACAATGGAAGACACATTTGGGGCTGTCTGCCCCGTGTTATGACAAATTCCTAAAAAGGCATTCATATTAGCACAGACTGTTTTATTGAGCTTGGTGATGAGATAGTGGTACAAGGAATGCTCGCTTTGGCAGGTAGACCCATTTTGATTTAAGGCAATTGGTTTTGTCCATTTAACTCTTACATTCTCTCAAATGTACTGGCAGGAAATCTACTAAATAAAAGGCACAGGACTGTAGTAGGCTATAGGCTGTTGTTTTTCAAAAGCACATTGAAGCACTTGTTTTCTAGTCTCTCCCTCTAAAATACTTAGAGAAATGTTTGGCACTTGGCAGGCACAACATACAGCTAGCTTATATTTGATCAGGTGATGAGTTTTAAACTACTGCCTTGGGCAGTGGAATGCGTAACGTTCTAAACCAGTTGTCATAGCCTGCTGCTGGAAAAGGACGATTAACATGTAAAGACTTGAGTGCCTTTTCACATATATTTCTGTGGTGTGGTTTGATTGATGGGATATCAAATCAAAGGTTATTAGTGAGCTAGGCCGATATAGGAGGATTAAACCAGCGGCCGTGCAAAGCCTTCTTTATTGAAATCAAACATGAAGTGGAAATAAGGACTTTTGTTTTTCCAGGTGAAAGTGTTTGGTGTACCGCTGGAGAGCCTTCCGCAGTACAATGTGGAGAATGGGAGTGTACCATGGTAAGATAAACACCTGTCTTAGATGGTCTAGCTATCTAACTCAATATTTTGTTGTCCTCTATTTGCGCGTATTCTGCCTATTATTTGTCCTTTTCAAGGTCTAATGTTTCTCCCATCCCCTTGCTCTCCCAGCTTTCTCATGGATGCGTGCACAAGTCTGCTAGAGCATGTGGATACAGAGGGCTTGTTCAGAAAGTCTGGTTCCATTGTCCGCCTGAAAGCACTCCGGGTGAGTGATGGCTGGAGGTTGACCCTGCTGGAGTTTTTTTATTTTATTTTTTATTTCACAGTTGACCTTTGACCTGGCTGCTGGAATAGTTTAACACAAGGCATCATTGTTTGTTTTGTCTCTGTAGGCGAAGTTGGATAAGGAGTGCCTGTCCGCTGCCCTGCCGTGTGATGTTGCTGGCCTGGTCAAGCAGTTCTTCAGGGAGCTACCAGATCCTGTCCTGCCCACAGAGCTGCATGATGCCTTCCTCAAGGCCCAGCAGCTGCCCACAGAGGAAGAGAGGACCTCTGCCACCCTGCTGCTGTCCTGTGTACTGCCTGACAGAAACATGAGCATCCTACATTATTTCTTTGGCTTCCTCCACAAAGTCTCTCAGAGGTACGATTTCACAAGTTTATGTCTCGTAATTAAATAGTATATCTGTACCAGTTCGGACTTGGTCAATCATTCTTTCTCACCCTGGTTTTGCTTTGTCTCAGGAGTGCTGTGAATAAGATGGACAGCAGTAACCTGTCTGTGATACTGGCTCCCAACCTTCTGCACGCTGGAGACGGGGCAGACAAGATGAACGCCAGCACAGAGAAACGCCTCAAGCAACAGGCAGCCGTGGTCCACTGCCTTATAGAACACGCTCTGGATTTCGGTAACAGTTCAAGCTTTGTTATTGTAGTTTCATCAATCAACTGGGGATTAAAAGTTAATGTCCATAGCTCACAGTTTCGAAATGTGTCTCTGTGTGTTAGGTGTGGTACCTCAGTACATCATGGAGAAGATTCCAGCCATGCTGGGCTGCGAGGCTGGTGTTCTCTCCCCTACTCTAGATGGACTAGACGAGTTAGACACAAACTCTGGGGCCAAGAGGAGACACAGGCGCAGTTTAGGAGGTAAGATACCATGGAAAAACTGGGCAGGATATTGCCTGGTGTAGAATTAATTTATTCTGTATAGCATTTGGTCATTGAAAATATCCGATGTTGTAGGCTTATCGCTTTCTCAGTAAAGCTCCACTGAATTTCAAAATCTGGAATATTTTTTGTCTCGCATTTCAGATATGGTCAATGGAGCTCGGAATAAGTTAAAAACAAATAGAACACCCACAAATACTCCCCAGTCAGACGGATATGGTAGGTATCTATTCAGGTTAGGTCACGCCTCCTGCTGTCAAATGAGAGCGTCAATGCCTCATAGCTCTGACACATATTCATCTCATCCAACTTATAACAAGGAATCAGCTACTTGACTTTCACAGAAATGCGCTTAAACTCTTAATAAACTCTTAATTTAAATTTGATCTCAGATTGTTTTCATTTGCTCATACAGTGGGGGGGGGAAAGTATTTAGTCAGCCACCAATTGTGCAAGTTCTCCCACTTAAAAATATGAGAGAGGCCTGTAATTTTCATCATAGGTACACGTCAACTATGACAGACAAAATGAGAAAACATTTTCCAGAAAATCACATTGTAGGATTTTTAATTAATTAATTTGCTAATTATGTTGGAAAATAAGTATTTGGTCAATAACAAAAGTTTCTCAATACTTTGTTATATACCCTTTGTCGGCAATGACACAGGTCAAACGTTTTCTGTAAGTCTTCACAAGGTTTTCACACACTGTTGCTGGTATTTTGGCCCATTCCTCCATGCAGATCTCCTCTAGAGCAGTGATGTTTTGGGGCTGTCGCTGGGCAACACGGACTTTCAACTCCCTCCAAAGATTTTCTATGGGGTTAGATCTGGAGACTGGCTAGGCCTCTCCAGGACCTTGAAATGCTTCTTACGAAGCCACTCCTTCGTTGCCCGGGCGGTGTGTTTGGGATTATTGTCATGCTGAAAGACCCAGCCACGTTTCATCTTCAATGCCCTTGCTGGTGGAAGGAGGTTTTCACTCAAAATCTCACGATACATGGCCCCATTCATTCTTTCCTTTACACCGGATCAGTCGTCCTGGTCCCTTTGCAGAAAAACAGCCCCAAAGCATGATGTTTCCACCCCCATGCTTCACAGTAGGTATGGTGTTCTTTGGATGCAACTCAGCATTCTTTGTCCTCCAAACACGACGAGTTGAGTTTTTACCAAAAAGTTATATTTTGGTTTCATCTGACCATATGACATTCTCCCAATCCTCTTCTGGATCATCCAAATGCACTCTAGCAAACTTCAGACAGGCCTGGACATGTACTGGCTTAAGCAGGGGAACACGTCTGGCACTGCAGGATTTGAGTCCCTGGCGGCGTAGTGTGTTACTGATGGTAGGCTTTGTTACTTTGGTCCCAGCTCTCTGCAGGTCATTCACTAGGTCCCCCTGTGTGGTTCTGGGATTTTTGCTCACCGTTCTTGTGATCATTTTGACCCCACGGGGTGAGATCTTGCGTGGAGCCCCAGATCGAGGGAGATTATCAGTGGTCTTGTATGTCTTCCATTTCCTAATAATTGCTCCCACAGTTGATTTCTTCAAACCAAGCTGCTTACCTATTGCAGATTCAGTCTTCCCAGCCTGGTGCAGGTCTACAATTTTGTTTCTGGTGTCCTTTGACAGCTCTTTGGTCTTGGCCATAGTGGAGTTTGGAGTGTGACTGTTTGAGGTTGTGGACAGGTGTATTTTATACTGATAACAAGTTCAAACAGGTGCCATTAATACAGGTAACGAGTGGAGGACAGAGGAGCCTCTTAAAGAAGAAGTTACAGGTCTGTGAGAGCCAGAAATCGTGGTTGTTTGTAGGTGACCAAATGCTTATTTTCCACCATAATTTGCAAATAAATCCATTAAAAATCCTACAATGTGATTTTCTGGAGAAAAAAATTCTCAATTTGTCTGTCATAGTTGACGTGTACCTATGATGAAAATTACAGGCCTCTCTCATCTTTTTAAGTGGGAGAACTTGCCCAATTGGTGGCTGACTAAATACTTTTTTCCCCCACTGTATGTAGTGAATGACTAGCGACGCTGTCTTGTTAGCATTTTATTTCTATTATTACGTTAAATGATTTGATGCCTGCCCAAATTGTCTTGCCTACTCTTTGCCTGGGTGCTTGTCATTGGCTTTAATATTCTCCATCAATGCAAATCCAGAATCCTCACAAATTATTTCAGCTGACTCAGTTCTGAATAGGTTTTAGTGGGAGACTTGGGGAACCTAAACCTAAATTCACTCATGATTTTTCCCAGTTTTTTCTTCTTCAACTCCTGTGATAATTACTCCCAACTCCAAGAGAAAACTTCCTTTGGAATCTGGTCAAAGTTATGGCTCCAGCAAGAAACGGAGATCCATCAAAAAGAACCTTGGTTTAGAGTTACTACCGAATGCTCTGTTCGGTGGAAGTTTTACTCCTGGACCAGGTAACAAGGCCCTATATAATCAAAACGGGTGACAACATTTTTTTATACAGACAAAAAAAGAGTTGTGTGCTGAGTGTGTTCCTCTTTGTTCCTGTTGTTCAGGTTACCTGGACCCCAGTGCCTCAGATTCCCTGAACTCCCAGAATGCGTTGTCCTCAGTTGGGAGGTCCAGCAGGCAGTCTGCCAGCTCTGCAAGGAGAAAGAGCAAACGACTAAGTCACCGGCATGTTGTCAACAGGTACATACACTACCGGTCAAAAGTTTTAGAACACCTACTCATTCAAGGGTTTTTCTTTATTTTTTATTATTTTCTACATTGTTGAATACATCACTTTTCTCTCTGTTGCATCGGAGGAGAGGCCTTCTTGAATATTTGTATGTAATTATGTATAATATGTCTAACTTGACAATGGTTGAAACGGTATGCTCACATGTTCTTGTCTGTTTTTCAGAGTGGAGTCGGGGAAGGCTGGTTGCTTCTCTCCCAAGGTCACCAAGAAAGAAAACGTTTGCAAGTCCCTGCGCCTTCGCTTCAGCCTGGGCAAGAGCAGCAGAGACCCTGTAAGTTCAGATACCCATGTATGACATGCTGATTATCTGCTCCTCAAATTGGAGGGAAAGACTGCTCTCAATCCCAGCCTTGATGACCCCCCTTAGCCTATTGACTTGAATTGTATTAATCAAAGATTAATAATTTACAGTTATGCATTAGGGTGCAATTGTAAGGTACAATTTAGCACAGAAGCACTTTCTTATTTCTAATATTTTTATGTTGTATTTTTGGCTTTAATCTTTGGATTAACTACTTACATTTTGTCTGTCGATTTTATGGCAATTTGGGCATGTTCATGTTTACTTTCAATAATGCTTGCTGGGTTAATAAATTGAACGAAGCTCATTTAAGAGATTATGAATTTTTAATTTTTCCTTTAAATCAAACATTCTTGTTTTCAAGATGAGAATTCCGTTATTTCTGCATGACTGTTCTGTAACATTTGAAGGAATGTTTATACTAATAAACTAGTGAACCAAGATCTTTATATCCTCAATTCTAGGATATTAAATATTATTTTAGATTTGTGAAATCTAACATTTAAGACTTAAAACATTTTAATATATTAACCAAATATTATGTTAACATAAACTAAACTGTAACCTGGTTTGGGTACGACAGTAATTTTATAATGCGTCATACTGATGTATATTTGCAATTTAATAAAACAACATTGACCAACACATTTCTTCTGAGTAACTTTTTGCCATACTCCAAAGACCCTTAAATTACAATCCATCAGATTGTCATATAACTAAACAAGGTTCTAGTGCACGGCTACATTTATATGCTTTACTAAAAAGTAGACGCTTCCATCCCAACAATGTCATTTCTCATTCCATGCTGGTGATTCAGAAAGAGGGTTCAGAGTCCATTGGTTGGCGACTTGCCACTCAAGAGAGCACCACCGGTTTTCGTTTCACCAAAGAAGCCGAATTTAGCCTGGCTGTATTGCGAAACAAGAGCTCGTCGAATGGTGAGTACCTTTTTTAAAACCTAACTTTTCTAAATGTACTTTCATAATTAATGTGCTAAGAGCTAAACTAATGCATGAAATGGATCAGTGTTTGTTATGTGTTGTCCCTTGGTGGAAGCGATGTCTGCTACTGCCCCCCCATTGTGCTCCACAGGCTCCGAGTTCTACAGTAAGTCAGAGGACAACTTGCTGACCCCCCAGTGTGATGACGGCAGTGCCCTCCGGACATCCTGTAGCGAGGAGACCCCTGATGAGGGTCTTGTCTTGAGCGGGGGCTCCTTCACCGACACCCCCATGAACATGTGTCTGAAGAACAACTACTACTCTGAGCCTGCCATCGTGGTGGCTAAACCCCCCATGGTGGCCAGCTTCCCCAAGAAGCTGTGCTGTGCCTCCAGAGCTGAGAGCCTGGAGAGTGAGGGTTTGTTCAGCGAGTCCCAGACCTTGACCAGGCCCACCTTGCTCAAGATCAAAGGAGCCTTCACTGAGTCAGGCAGCGATCTGGAGGCAGTCTCGAGAGACCACAGCGCCCCCTCAGGAGAGGTCAAGCCATCACAGCCTGAGAACACTCAAACAGATTCAACTCCTTCTGAATCTTCAACACTCAAGGGTGCGTCACCAAACAAAGAGAGTTTTAGCATGCCAACACCTCAGAGGCGTCTGGCTGATGATCAGAACATCACATTTGGTCAGATCGCGTTTGTTCCTCTTTCTCCCTTGTCTATAGACAGCGCCCTGTTTGAAGTGGGAGGGTGTGGCAGTCTGTCAGAGAAGGCCTGTGACCGGTCGCTGTGTGCTGGTGACAGCGGTGACAGATCTGTGGAGGCAGAGACTGTGGCTGAGCAGGTGTACTGTAGTAGGCTGATCGATTCCCTGGACATCCAGAGCCCTACTCACTTCACACGCAGCATCGCTGCTGGGGTCCAGTCCACTCCATACAGAGCTTCCGGGCTGGAGTACTTTCAGGAGCTCAACACCCCTCTTCCCCCCATGGGTACAGTATCTGTAATGGTACATGATGATGAGTCTGTGGCATCCCCAGAGCCCAGTACCCACCCCCAGAGGCAGGAGAATCAGCAGGTGGAGCAGCCCTCCCCAGGCACCCTGGAGGCCCGCAGGGTAAGGGTGGCAGACCATATCCAGCGCTTCAACAAGCTCATCCTATATTCACCCAAATCACAGGCCAAAGCAGTCAGGTCCCCCCTCAAGTTCCAGCGTACCCCTGTGCGCCAGTCTGTCCGCAGGATCAACTCTCTGCTGGTGGACAGGAGGCCTGCACTGGCTGGGAACGCCTCCAGACGGGGCCAGGACACCCCCACCCCTGTAGGGAAGGCTGTCAGCCTGGAGAGTGGCCTGTCTGCTGGGGCTCAGCCCCAGCCTCACCAGTGCCAGGCAGACAACCATGGAGGCCCCACAAATGACAAGGGCCGCTCCACAAAAACCTGCCCTCCTCCGGTCCCACCCAAGAAGCCAGCCAGCGTAATCCGCAAACCCAGGAGTTGCGCTCTGGGTGACGTGACCAACAAGGTACAACCTAAGGCCAAAGGTGACACACCCGTTAAGAACAGTCTAGGAGTTGAAGGTCAGAAGTCTGTGGTGCAGCAGGTGGCTGAGAAGGATGTGTGTTGCTACAGAGGCTCCCCCAGGAACCCCCTCAACGATGGTAGACTGCTGTCAGCCACCAAGCCCATAGACCTCTAGTCAAGTAGAACGTCCCGTTTACCATGCAGGTCTCCCTATCTGGACATAGGCTGTCACTGTATTACTTCAAAACATTCCCTTCTATGTTTTCAGGGGTTTAAATTATTTTAATTTCTAGATGCTGTTCTCCGTGAGTTGTTTGGGGCGACTGATCTGATGTATGTCAACTTTTTTTTACTCTATTGTTGGTAAAAGTTTTGCAAATGCATATCAGTGTAAAGGAATGAGTGTGTTTGTAGTCTGTTAGACTAGTGTGAAAGCCAAATGCTGAACGGTTGGTTGTATGGCAGGAAGTTTCGAGATTTTATACTTGCTTTTATTTATCTTTTCATTGAGTTCGTCATTTGGTAAAGATCTACGAAGGAAACTATTTCCCCCCCCAAAAAAAACATTTAAATGTATTTTCTTTAAAAAAAACTGCTTTGGATTAAACATGTGAACCGATCAAGGCACCTTTTTAGGGGAATGTATTAATAAAACCTTTCAAGCAGTATTGATTTAATTCACCTCTGCATTTGCAGTCCTACAATTTCCAATCTCTTCAGAAGTAGTGCATTACCATGAATTTTTGATAAATAGAAAATAAATCAAAACATTCAGAACACTTTGTTTTTTTCTTGGGAACAATTCATAATACTGTATGCATTTGTCTGCACAAATGCTGAAATAGTACATGTTATTATAATATAAGGAAACAACACCTCGACATCACTACTGGTACTTACAGCTTCATTCCACAAGGGGGTGTACTAAAATCACTTGTTGGGGAAGCTGCAATGTAGCAGAAGTACTGTATGTAATTTGACACTACTCAGTGGCGAACCTTGACTATAGGGCCTAGGACTTCAGAGGGACAAAAAATCTGTTATGTATCAAATCAATTAAATAACATTACTTAATACTCCCAACATATCTTCTGTATTCGGACCGTTCTAGTGAAGGAGGAGCAATGCTTTTTGATGACATTATGAATTAATCAAACAGGCCTGGCCGTGCTTCGGGCTGCTGCACACACAGAGACAGAACCGGCATGGACACAATGCAACCAGCAAAACAAAAAACACTGTTTACACAACCTATGGTAGCCTAACACAACTATCACACCATCACCAATAGGCGACAACAACAGTGTCAGATCAAAGGTGACTCGTGGTGCTGAAAGGACATTGACCTTAATACCTGTGCACTCCATGGCACGGAAGGAGAGACCATTTTCGGCAACAACAAAATAAGACTGCTGATAGGGTGACAGCATCACACACAGTATCAAATAATGTTAAAGAATATGCAGCCAATTTACTCCCCATGAAATCATAACAAAAAAGCACAATCATTTAATTTCCAAAATGAAATTAACAAACCAGCTATCACTTCCCATTGCAAATATATTTTTATAATGTTATTCCCAATAACTGGTGATCTAAAGTTTAAATGCAACAATGTTTCACAGTCATTATTTTCAAATAGATAGCTAACAGCAAGTGAGCTGCAACAAAAAACATTGCCACTCACCATGTGATGATTTGTAAAGTAAGTTTGAAAGTTAATCTTGAAAAGGGTGATGCTAACAAATTAGCAACATCCACCTTGAAGTTGATAACAGCCACTGCAGCTGCTGTCGCCATTGTCACACTACTACAACACAAGCTAGCTAACACTGACCACATTTACATGCACACCAATATCCCGTTATTATTCATGATACTCAATTATTCTGTTTTTGAGTTGATGCATATAAACACCATATCCCATTTACAGTAACCCGAAAAGGCTTGTATCCCGGTTATGAGAAACCCGGATAAGACGCCTGGGATATGCTGATCTTAGAAGGGATACTGTGGCATGTAAACATCTTATCCCGTTTACTGTTTTTGTCTGCACAGACTCAATTTCAAATATAATGGGTGTTGTGTGATGTTTTCATCTGATTGTCAAACAAATCACTTCAAAAAGTAGGCTACCTGTGCAATTAGATCCACCATAATGCCATAACAATTAATTTAGCTGATACTCTGTACTGGACCATATAGCCTACTGGCTACTTTCACCCTTAATTTAGACAAGTTTCTGCCAGGCCCAGCCAATCAATTAATCAGTGTCCATATTTGAGTTACTATACCATTTAACCCAAATGAACTTAAATGAGGAATATTCTGTTTATTCATGGTTACAGGGATACTCGTGAAAGGGATATCAAAGGTGCATGTAAACAGCTTATCCCAAATAAGACCTTTAAAGCCAATTCATGCATGATCCGAAAATGTGGTCGGTGGCTCCATATGGAGGGTGTGATGCAATTGCGGAGGCTTGCAGAGGCCAAATTGAGCTCCGTACCGCATCGGTGTGCCTCCCAAATTTTGTAACAATGCAGAGGGCTCCATATATAGTAGCTTCATATAGCTCTGCATTGACATGATTGGTTGACGGTAGGTGGGGGCGGGAGGTCCTGTGTAAACACAAACTCACTTGCTTGACAACTTCCTTCACAACAGCTCTGTGCTACACCGGCTCCGACGCTCATCGGATGTGGCAGGGCTTGCAAACTATTACAGACTACAAAGGGAAGCACAGCCGCGAACTGCCCAATGACATGAGCCTACCAGACAAGCTAAATTACTTCTATGCTCGCTTCGAGGCAAGTAATACTGAAACATGCATGAGAGCATCAGCTGTTCCGGACGACTGTGATCACGCTCTCTGTAGACGATGTGAGTAAGACCTTTAAACAGATCATCATTCACAAGGCCGCAGGGCCAGACGGATTACCAGGACATCTCCGAGCATGCGCTGACCAACTGGCAAGTGTCTTCACTGACATTTTCAACCTCTCCCTGTCTGAGTCTACAATACCAACATGTTTCAAGCAGACCACCATAGTCCCTGTGCCCAAGAACACTAAGGTAACCTGCCTAAATGACTACTGACCCATAGCACTCACGTCTGTAGCTATGAAGTGTTTTGAAAGGCTGGTCATGAATCACATCAACACCATTATCCCAGAAACCCTAGACCCACTCCAATTTGCATACCTTCCCAACAGATCCACAGATGATGCAATCTTTATTGCGCTCCACACTGCCCTTTCACATCTGGACAATGTGGGAATGCTATTCATTGACTACAGCTCAGCGTTCAACACCATAGTGTCCACAAAGCTCATCACTAAGCTAAGGACCCTGGGACTGAACACCTCCCTCTGCAGCTGGATCCTGGACTTCCTGACGGGCCGCACCCAGGTGGTAAGAGTAGGTAACAACACATCTGCCACGCTGATCCTCAACTCAGGGGTGTGTGTTTAGTCCCCTCCTGTACTCCCTGTTCACTCATGACTGCATGGCCAGGCACAACTCCAACACCATCATTAAGTTTGCCGATGACACAACAGTGGTAGGCCTGATCACCGACAATGACGAGAAGGCCTATAGGGAGGAGGTCAGAGACCTGGCCGTGTGGTGCCAGGACAACAACCTCTCCCTCAACGTGATCAAAACAAAGGAGATGATTGTGGACTACAGGAAAAAGAAGAGGACTGAGCACGCCCCCATTCTCATCAACTGGGCTGTAGTGGAGCAGGTTGAGAGCTTCAACTTCCTTGGTGTCCACATCACCAATAAACTAACATGGTCCATGCACACCAAGACAGTCGTGAAGAGGGCATGACAAAACCTATTCCCCCTAAGGAGACTGAAAAGATTTGGCATGGGTCCTCAGATCCTCAAAAGGTTCTACAGTTGCACCATCGAGAGCATCCTGACTGGTTGCATCACTGCCTGGTATGGCAACTGCTTGGCCTCCGACCGCAAGGCACTACAGGGGTAGTGCGTACGGCCCAGTACATCACTGGGGCCAAGCTTCCTGCCATCCAGGACCTCTATACCAGGCGGTGTCAGAGGAAGGCCCTCAAAATTGTCAAAGACTCCAGCCACCCTAGTCATAGACTGTTCTCTCTGCTACCGCACGGCAAGATGTACCGGAGTGCCAAGTCTAGGTCCAAGGGGCTTCTTAACAGCTTCTACCCCCAAGCCATAAGACTCCTGAACATCTAATCAAATGGCTACCCGGGCTATTTGCATTGCCCCCACTCCCCCTCTTTACGCTGCTGCTACTCTCTGTTTATTATCTATGCACAGTCACTTTAATAACTCTACCTACATGTACATATTACCTCAATTACCTCGACTAACCTGTGGCCCCGCACATTGACTCTGTACCACCTATATGTATTTTACTGCTGCTCTTTAATTATGTTACTTTTATTTATTCTTTTTTTTTTAGGTATTCTTTCTTAACACTGCATTGATGGTTAAGGGCTTGTAAGTAAGCATTTCACTGTAAGGTCTACACCTGTTCTATTCGGCGCATGTGACAAATAACATTTGATTTGATTTTGCTGCTCTGCGAAGCACAATAAGTATGAATGCCCTGACTTCTGCAGAGGCCGTATCACCGTAAATGCTGCACGGCCTATGCAGATGTCGGATTGACCATTCAGCGTCTTTAAGCGGGATATGAGCTACGATACAGAATACTCGGCACATGTAAACTTGGTCACGGTCACACTACTACAACACAAGCTAGCTAATATTACTAGCGTTAGCATGGGAAAACAACTGCTTGAGCCACTGATTTTTCTTTTTTTTGGCTCTCAGTAGTGACGTGTCTAAGCCTTCACTTTTTTTTTTATGGTCCCGCCCATTGCAAGTGAAAATGTAATTGCTTCATTCCACTGTCACTCCAAAATTCTGCTCTAATACAGTTGATCGGCAGAGGCACAGATAGAACAATGAGACAGATATTTCACCGGATGTATAAATGTGAAGCATCCGGTTGGCGTTTCTACTCACTACCAAATATGGTGGTGAGAGGAAGCCCAGTGGCTGGCAGTGGGAGAAGATGTAGCGAAATGGATTTTGGCCGATATTATGCTAATCGATTAAACAGTTGATCTCAATACAGTTTTCTTTCCAAAACTAGAATTTGTTACGAACAGAGTGGAATAACTTTTGTAGACTTTACCCTTTGGAAAAGTTTTTAAAAATGGCTGACAGTCTGTGGTCTATCTTGGGTTCGTTATAAAAAATATTTGGCAGAGGCCTTCTGTCCAGCTTCTGAAGGCCTAGCCAATGGCTGGCTTAGGTAGCTAGATTTTTCTACCCAGAGACCACCAAAGGAAATCCTGATTGGATCGTTTCCTCTTCAGTATTAACCCTTCTCTTTCCAACACAAACTGAAATCAGAAGATAATTTATTGTAAAAGATTAAATAGAAATTAAAACGAAATGTAATTAAAAAACATACTTAAAAAAACAAATCCTGTGGCCTAGAAGGCCCTTAAGGTTTCCCACTGGGACTACTCCAGCGGATGGTGCCATGTCTTTTCTTTTTGAGAATGTGCAGGCAGACACTACT